AAATCAGGAAGAAGCACTGAAGGTGAATAGGACGCACCCAGGAAAGCACGTACTTGCCTTACAGGGCAAACCCTAACTTGTGAACAAGAACAATGGAAAAATGGGAAACCGAAGAACACGTTACTTCACAAACTAGAAGCAGATATGAAAAGAAGAAACAGTAATTGGATAGAACTGGGAAGGAAGACCGAGGACAGAATAGGTTGGATAAGGCTGGTCAGAGTCCTGTCCCCCACGAGTAACAGGAGTAAGTAAGTAAGAACAAGTACGAAATTCTAACACTGTATCCATCAATGTGTGAATTGAGTGTTCGATTGTCAGTCTAAATTAGTCAGCTACGGATACTTAGAAAATGAGAATGTATTTCACTAAGTTATCTTGTTCTTTAGAAATTCACAGTGAGTAGATGACAATTAAATCCAGAAATCTTAATGTTTGAAAATACTCGTATGTATTGAATGCTTGGATCTTCTTGTTGATGTTTAGGACTGCGACCGATCAGTCTCTTTTTGAATATGAGCTTCCTATTCAGATTGCCTAGACATTGCCACTAAGTCACAAGCAATTTTAAAAGCAGAGAAGAATGGTAGCTAGCAGCAGAATCCAGGACACATGTTTCTTCCTATTTGGGACTCGTCAGCTGGATGCAACTGTATCCCAGATTTGATGTTCACTGTGCACCCAAACCCAGTACTGTTCGTTTCGAACGCCATCGCAAGTTTTGGAAAGAACATCGACTCTAGGATGTAGGTGCAGCCAATTAACGAGTCCCAAATAGGATGAAACATGTGTCATGGATTCCACTGCTGGTCACCATCCATGTTTGCTTTGAAAATAGCGTTTAGTTACTTTGCATTTATTATTCTATGAACGCGTCACAATCTTATCACAGTTTAAGAAGCAACCTGGAAACAAATACCGCTAGACAGATTTTCTCTGAATTGTTTAATTTTAGTTGGCTGTGTGAACAGTAAATGTTGTTCCTGTGAGTAGCCAATCACATGAAAGGTCAAATGCGTAACAAAGTATCTTTCTGGTAACCTAATCATCAGACAACCAATAAGAAAATAAATGACAGTTAAAATTTAGCTGTCTTATTTATGAATCATCAATGTCAGACTAGTCACGATTACTAAGGTCAAATGGCAATCCACACATCTATTTTAGTCAATTGTTTTTTATGCAGTAATTCTGGATGTTGGTAGTCATGTTGTATATGAAATTTCAAATGTTTCTCTTTTCTCTTTATATGAGCCGTTTGTTAGTAAAATCTGATAATATCAAGGGATACTTAAGAAACCGATATTTTACTGAAGATTGAACTATTCCTTCTTATAAGTTACTAGCTACTGCACATTCTCCAATCAAGGCAAAGCATAGCAGGGGAGTAATAATCATCTTAGTGAGTAGTATAAAACACTGCGTTTACTTTTGAGTTATTTGTTTTTACTGGACTATTTTTCAAAAATAGGATTATTCGACATTCCATGTTCTATACAAACAATGACAGGCACGAATTCAATTAGGAAAGCTTCAAAGTATTAGATCAGTGAATTTGAACAAATCTCAAAAAATCTTATTTTGTTCGAAAAAGTCTGAATCTTCACGTTACATATGTTCAGGACTAAGAATCATTCGAACTACTGGCCACAATCCAATTTAACAGTATTCGATAAGTAGTGCAAAGGACTAGGCATATGGATATTGATCACTAACAAATGATCAGTCAATTGTAAATAGATCACCCTCTTTTGACATATCTGGAGAGTGCATAACGCATTGGATGTTTGAGACAAAAGGATCTGAGTTTGAGTCTCGATGTAAACATGGTAATCACTATAGTATTCTGCTTAAAAATTTCAGATGTGCAAAGTTGAGATCGATCTGTAATCAGTAGGATTTTCGACACAGACCCTGTTTACAAGTTTAGATAGAACAAGTTAGAAAATCATGTGGCTAGAGGTCAACAGAAGAAGACAGCCAATAACCATATTTTTATTTAGTCTTAGTATAAAATTGAAAAAAAAAACGTTATAGAAATTTCTGTAACAGCGTAAGGACAGGTCATGTGGGTTCAATACCACCTATTAATCTTTATTGTTTATGAGTATGATAACGGAATAAATCGCGAAAATGAGTAGCGCAAAATATAGCGAGAATTGATTTGCAACGCTGACAAAATGTGAGAATATAGAACAGTTAAGTATGAACATGTTTTAAAAAGCCGCACTAGAGTTAAACGTTGATTAGCGATCAATGACTTTACATCTATTTGGTATTGAGTCTTTTTATGTAGGATAATGTCACCTGAACAGTTAAATGATAACTGCATTGTGAACAATATTCATTGTTGTATTGCAATCGATAATGATTCTAAAATGCAAAGTCAGTATAAATTGTCGTTGACATTTTAACCAGATGCATCGAGTTATCGTTAAATATGTAGTAGTGGAATGACCAGAGGAACGGGATAATCAGTGAGGAGACGAGAAACGCTGAGTCATATTCCTTTCTGGTAGTAAAGCCTAGCGTAGTTTAAGTCGTTTGAGAAGAGATGCACTCAACCATTCAACTGTGTATACCGGACGAATGAAACTGACTCGAATGCGAGTGTTGCTTTGAGAGACTAGCTCTAAACTCTATTCTCTGTGCAGTGGGAATTGGTACAAATTACAGTAATCATTCAATGTTTCAGAGTAATGAATGTATCATGCGTGTATCATACGTGAACAAATAAGACGAAATTTGATGAATGTATAGACATTATAGCGATACTCGTCGATTAAACAAATAGCTGATTGTGATGCTTGGTCTTCTAAAAAGACTTAGTTAAAACACGTTCATACTTAACTGTTCTTTATTCTCACATTTTGCCAGTGTTGCAGATTGATTCTGACTATATTTCGCGCTACTTATTCTCGCGATTTATTCCGTTATCATACTCATAAACAATAAACGATTGATCACATGTTATTTTCACACTATTCTAAATTACTCATACTGTGGTGCTGTGGTGCGAACTACTTATAAGTAGTATATAACGTGAGCGTCAACGTAATGTCTGGTAGCATAATATGGGGGGAAGATCAAGAAAGTAAGAGTTAGAAAACAATGGAATTTGTATGAAACCCATAAATAGTGACAATGGATTGATGTTTGGCAGCAGGAACAGTCCAGTTCCATAGGACGAACTGATGTTTTGCAAATGAACAATTTACGATATGGTTTTCCGATTTTACTGAGTAACTCTGTAATTTTCGTTAAATACAATTCGGTTGTCTCCACCTGTGTTCTCTTTCACTACAATACAAACATGTTATTTTACTGCCCAGATAGTCACACCGAAAACGCTTATTAATTTTTTGTCAACACATTAATTTGCTAATGATCTCATGCTACCATTTTCATTTGTTTCCGAGCCTACACGATATTAATAATATTTTGCTACATAGGTATGATACTTTCTATCCATATACTCACCCCTCATGTACCGTTCTCTGTGTAAAATCGTATATGTTTTTCCACTAATCAACCGCGCATACCATTACCATGATATTTTTCAAAACTGACGTTTTTTCCAAAGTATTGTACAGTTTTGTACAAGGGGGTTTTGTAGTGTGTGTTCGTTATATTAGAAAGAGAAGATGAAGAAAAAGAAAGCAAATTAGACAGTATCATTTATCTTCAGTTGTTTACTACTATCAATCAACACCGAAATCAGAATTTTCAATACAAATGTCAAGACAGTTCTACTGTATGGAGTGGAAAGTTGGAGAACTACAAAAGCCATCATCCAAAAGATACAAGTATTCACTAACAGTTGTCTACGCAAAATACTTCGGATCGGTCGGCCAGAAACCATAAGCAACAGTCTACTACGGGAGAGAACAAATCAGATCCCAGCAGAGGAAGAAATCAGGAAGAAGCGGTGGAAGTTGATAGGACACATATTTAGGAAAGCACCCAACTGCCTCAGAAGACAAGCCCTCACATGGAACCTCAAGATAAAAGGAAACGAGGAAGACCGAAGAACACATTACGCTGAGAAATAGAGAAAGATATGAGAAGAATGGAACAAAAATTGGACAGAACTGGAAAGAGAAGCTGAGGACAGAGACGATTGGAGAATACTGGTCGGCGGCCTATGCTCCATTAGGGGGTGACAGGCGTAAGTAAAGTAAAGTTGGTTGTTTACTAGATTATAATAAAACTAATTTATTCAGAATTCTCACATCGACACATTGAAATGTTTCATATTTTTTCCATTCTACTTGTTAATTTTATGTTTCAGTCATTTCTGTTCATTTTGTGCATAACATGAGGTTACATAAATTTTGATGTGATAACTAACTTTATAAATTATTCATCATTTGATAGCTTTCTCAATAGTTATAAGAGCGATCACTACTCTAATAATGTTTCATATATTTTATGAAAAGATAATGTTAATAATTTGTCGGTTAGTTCATTATGAGAAAATTATCTTCACATTGCTTAAGCATAGAGTAACAATTAATGTTAAGTTCATCTAATCCTTACTGTTAACTAGATTTCATCGGTTAAGACTGACTTATCCAACATCATATCCGATATATTTCAATGCTTAGTGTTTAGAAGAAATCAATAAAACGACCGATATTTACAATTGATTTCAAACTGTTATCAACTATTTGAAATAATCCATGAAATAATGAAAAGATAATTACTGCCTGGTAAATTCCATTGATAGTATAAGTTTTATAAAATTTTACTGAGAAAATACTTTTTATGGATAAGACTAAAATGTTAATGATCAAAGCATAAAATATCAAGTGTTGATTGCAATTTACGCCTTCCTCCCTTCCAATTCAACTGAAACATCCTCATTATATAATCTAATGAGTTTCATTTCAATTATAGGAAGGTGATAAATATACTTTGCAGAAATTTGTATTTACAATGAAATCTATTAGTTAAGTTTAATAAACATTAAATGAATTTTAATTCCTTCTATTCTATAGTTAAGTGTAGTTTACAAATCTATCATCGTGCAACGGTAACAAACTTTCAATTTGTTCACCTCTTAAACTATGAAACAGTTTATAAAAAGATATCGGCATAAAATTAAAAAACCATAGTAACCATCAACATTCATTTGTTTTCCTTGCCAAAATTGATTAGGATAGAAATAAAAGTTTAAAATGGAATTCAATTCATTCCTGTTCAACGTAGTTGGATGAAAAGAGAACCCATACTATTAAAATAAATCCTGTCAGTTGTTATTTTTACACATTTGAAATCATCTAGTTGAGAAGACATGACCAATGGAGTTCAATCCTATCGGATGTAGACAGTAACTACCAAAGACAAATGGGTGAGGTCGCGCAAAATCCCTAGATCAATCAGAGTTAGACATTAACACCGTTGGATGCCGGCCGAGTGGTTCAATGGTTAGGCGTTCGCGCACATTTCCGAAGGTCCTGGGTTCGAATCCTGTGAGGAGCAGGAGTCGTGGATGCGCACTGCTGATGAGTCTCATACCAGGACGAAACGGCCGTCCAGTGCTTCCTGGTTTCTAATAGCGGTTTAACAATGATTGATTGGTAATTTCAAATGTGTAAAAACACAAACCTCCAAAACCCTGCCCGAAAATTGTTATTTTCTTTTAAAAAATTCCATTCTAAGGTAGATGAATAAATTTTTGTTATCTGTTCAACTTGAACTATTCATTACAAATGTAAACATCTACTGAGTGTTAATTATATTTTGATTTTTGTTGTTATTCAAAAAAAAAATTTTTTTCAAGATCAAACTTTATTCATTAAATCAATTGTAGTAATAATAGGTCGATTTAGTTGTATTTTTAGATTTGGCCTGAAATATTTTCATCATTACATAAGACACTGGTGAGAGTTTTAATATGATTAGCTGACTAATAAATGTTGTTTGTTGGACTAGATTATTGTATGAACATACTCATATGTACGAGATTTATATAACCATTAATTAGGTATACTGTGTAGACATTCTAAGCCTTTATCTTCATATAATTGTATGTCAAAGTTACTGGGATTGTAATTACCTAACAAGAAGAAATATTTTTTTACGTGTTACTGAGCAATGATCAACTTAACCCCATGGCCCCACGCCGAAAAAAAAACACTAACATAAATTCGGAAAAAATGATCAAATAATTAAGAGTCGTATTTGTTAATTGAATAGTTCAATTGTCGACTGATCACATCAAGTTTTCATTCTATTGTAAATTTAATGTAGCCATCAATTTCATTCAGATTATTGCGCGAAAATTCAATAATTAAACAAATTTAAATACTATTCGATTTGTAATAATGAAATTAATGCCTTATGGTTTGTAAACATTTGACAAAACTTAAATTAATTCTGATAATTTGAAATATAATCAACTGATGTGCAAGTGTAAGTTATCAATGACGGTTTTTAAATTTAATAACTGTAGATTATTAACAGAATAACAGATATTGAAGACTGTGTATTTATTTTGGACAATGAACTAAGTTATATTCTGTAGTACCCGATTACTTTATAAGGAGATAATCGCTAGTAAGTGAAAATAATTTACACACACCAGTTTATCGTATAGGGAAGACTACAGATACTTACTAAAGAAAATGTAACATGTAGTAGTCAAATATTAAAGATTCCCATTGTGAATATTAGGACAGTATACATATAGGCGAACAATGATGTGCTTTCTATTAGATTGTCATCAGGCTTTACTCTTATATACATGAATATTTGTATGAAAATATTAAACCAAACAAGGTAAGACATTAGTCAATAATCCTAACAAAATAGATTACGTAACTACACATGATATGTAAAAGTATAAGTTGATAGTTGGAGAACAGGTGTAGTGTTAGTAGTAAGATACAATACAATGACATAAGTTTTTGTCAATAGTTCAGTGTTGGGATTAGTAGGTCAAAAGTGGATAAATAGAGAAAATTATGACAAAGCTCTATTAAAATTACGTAATAATTAGATGGTGAAGAATGTGAACGAATAGAGTGGACAAAATTACAAACAAACACAGGATGTGAAAATAATACTAATTATAATAAATAAATAAATTCAAAATCGTCTATAAAGTTACATCCGGGCAAACAAAGTACGGGGGTGTCATGAAACTCTCCTGAACACGAATTGGGGTTAAAAGTTCAGATTCCTATGGCTTCTGCTATATGTAGGAGACAGTATCGAACTCGGTTGAGAAATGATGAAGGTAAACGATAGATCAATCAAATGTGTCAAAATGGAACTGCGTATTGTTCTTATCTCGTCCTTTCCAAACCATACTCGGAGATGTTCACTCATTCAGTGGTTCAGTTACATGGTAGTACGCTCGACATAGCTGTTTCCACAGAACCAGCTTGATTTGTAAATGCACGTTGAGGAGACCAATTCAGGTAGCTTATCCTTCGTTTGAGTAAACGTCACTAGTTCACTGGAGAATGCTAACACAAGACTGACTGCTTAGAATGTCCTATTAATTGCCTTTGCTATTCATCATGTAGGACATCGGTAACTATGTCTCCGTTGAATTGTAGTTTAAGGAACAGATGCTTCTTTCAAATGATCAAAGTCTCCGACTGCTTTTTCGTTGTATATATGTACTTCTTTAAGAACGCATTGTAATAGCAGATTTCTGTCAGTAAGTTGTTAATAAGCTCAAGCTCCTTCCTTAACGTATCCAATGATTAGATTATTTTTGCTTTGCCTGTGAGGCATCTAACCAAATTTCTTTTGTAGCGGATAGGTGTCAAACTATAACAGTTCATTGGTAAGCTGCTTCATTGTGTTTACTGGCTCATAAATTGTCTTGATATTAATGTATATTAGAGTAAAGCCTGATGACGATCTAATTGGAAACTATATTTCTCGCTTATATGTGTTGTTCTAACAGTTAAATACACACTAGAGACTTGTAATGCTTAAAATAAACATTGTATATTACACTTAGATGCTTACTGTTTATTTTAACTCAGAATAAGAAAACTTCAGTAACAGTCTTTCAACTAGTCAGTGCTTGGAAATATAGACTCAATTATTCTAACTCCTTCAATGAGTTGATCAATTACTCATAAATAATTACAAATTCTTTAGTGTTAATATGATTAAGTAAATTGAAAATAGTAAGAAATTAAGTAATTGAAAATAGTAAGAAATTAAGTATTATTCTGTGATAAATTCGATTAGATCAGTAAACAATGATAGATATTGTTAATTATTAATAGAATACTAAGTATTTATGACAGAAATGTTGACTGCTTACGATGTCAAACCCTAAAAATGAGCTTTTTCACAAGTATTTAGTCAGCTGGCTGAAGTTGGAAGACAAATATTTTCGGGAAATTATTCAGAATATAAAAAATTCTGGAAATATCTAACGTTAGACTGAAACATTTTTCACAAAGGATTAACCTGCGACTATATCCATCCTTGATTTATTTGTTAACGGATAAGTTATTTAATACTGTTTTGGTTGAATATTTTTAATACAAATGACAGCTTTGATTCCTTATTGTATTCACTGGTCCTGTTTGATGAAAAAGGTTCACTTGAACTTTCGAAAATTATCCGATTATGTTTTTATAACACTGTATACAGATCGATAAAAGTTATTTGGTTAGTAGTACTCTGCAGGGCCCTTAGTCATTAGGACATTAGATTTAAGACATTGAAAGAACTGATGCTGCCCTATTAAATGTTTCAATTCACCTCAATCAGTACCTGATTTAGAGAAGTTACAACTTGAACATCAAGAGGTGACTATTACTATTAATGGTAATAATAATAATGATAATAATTATGATAAATATAAGTTAGTACAGTTTAAATCCTATAAAGATGTTAATCACTCAAAATACCTGCATTGGGCTTCTGAATTTTGATTTTCAAACATACAATAATCACATTTACGCATTGAATCCTTTTGTAATAAATTCGCCAAGTCTCGAAGTTTTTCAATAAATATTGCATTTGGAAATTGTAACTCATCCACTGTCATTGTTTCTTCCTTTTCTAAATTCTGGTTTGATTCATTAGTTAAGTTGTTGCCAAGTTGAATCGTTACACATTTATCATCACTGATGTTATTTTCTAGTGTTCCATTAGTAAAACTCTGATTATTAGGATTATATTGTTCTCGTAATTGTAAACCAGCCAAATGACAAGCTTTACATTTGATCAATGAATTATTCTGATTTTTTAAATGTTTACTTAATGATATAACACAATTTTGACAGATTGTATGTAAACATGGAAGAAGCTTTTAATGATAAGAAAAAAAGAGAAAGATACGAAACTATAGAATAATAATCTATTATTATACCAACTTACTGAACTATTATAGAACAACCATATTAAGAAAGCGAGACTATATAGTTAAATTGATTGTCAATTTATATGCTTGAACTATTACGAGTTCACCTTACTCGGTAAACGGAGCGCAGATAAATGATGCAATGACATGATAGGCTATTCCAATCCGTTTGTCCCCGGCCCGGCTAAATATATTAAGAAGTCTTGATAAGGCGTAGAAAGTGTATTCTACAAGCACCCAGAAATTCGAGATCAATAAGTACACAAATCCAGCTAATTTATACATGATAGAAACGTCATTGAGAGAGCCAAAAAATAGCGTACTAAAATAATACATCAGTTAATAACAGTCAAGGATTATCTAAGTAGGAAATGTAATCTCAAGGTCAGCTAAGCACCTTATGCGCGAAAACATAAAAAATCCGAAATTAGGACCTTTACGAAGTGAGTTCTGGGGATCTAACGTCCCCAACAGTATAGTTAGATAAAAATTGGATGATATAAACTTTATCGTAGTTACGTTCATTACTCATAATACGTAGATTAATTTTTTTCAATCAATGGATTTCTCTAAGCTACATGAAAGTGAACTATGCAGTGAATAGAACAAAAGCATTCAAAAGGGATTGTTGTATGCCACCAGCTTTTTCCAGATGAAGTTCATTCCGGTCTCCTATAGGGATTTGAGCTTACAACCTTAGTTTTTGTATTTCGCAAATAATTTATAACACTATCGCTTCTTTCTTGGTCTGATACGACGTAATGGACTACTTTACTGATTTTTCACACACTTGGTTTACTTTTCTCAGCCACTTATACATTTACAGTGATTATCTACACACTGTTTTTATCGCAAAATTTTCACGAGTATTATTGTTTATATTTCTAGTATTGAACTAATCTCGACGTTTAAGTACTTACTTGAGCTGTTTCCACTGCTTTTATCAATGTAAGTACATTTGTCATCTTCTTATCAATTTGTACTATTTACTTTTTATTGCTTTAGGTTTGATTGTTTAGTCTGTATTGTAGTTATCACCAACTCAATAAATTGTCTCTATATTGCTAATATTTATCAAATATATTTACATTGCTAAATACTAAAGTCTGATGAATATTTAATTAAAAACAATATTGTTTCATTTATCATGTCTTGATTTTATTTTGCAAATTTTAATTGAATTATTGAAAAAAATGTTGAAAAGGTACTAGATGTCTGATAAACATTTTTTGACATGTATTTTCATACAAACTTATTTGTTTCAACATGTTTAAAACTGAGAGAAAAACACAACACATTTTTTGGCTAGCCAGATGAAAATCTATTGATTCAATGTATTGTTATTCAATTGATCGGTAGCTTCAATTTATGCACAAAATATTTGTTAATTAATATACAGTTTGTTGCTTTCTTTTTTATGTGTTTTATTTGTACTCATAATATTGCATTTATTGTATTTTGTAATCAAATCCAACACTAAATGTTACATCGGTGTAATTATATATTTGCATAAATATAAGCTTATTGAAATTTTTGTAGCTATGAAACCTACAATTGGCAACTTTCATGATCTTCATCACTGAATGACCTTGAAATGACCATGAATGTTTGCGTACTTTAAATACTTTTCAACTGAACGATTAATTGTGTTCATTGCAAACTGTTTAATAGGATATTTATTTGCATGTATTTTTATCATATCAAAAGGTTAATATCATTATTATCAGATTACTCAATCAATTTTTAAAACCACTCTTTTACTTTAACAAGTAATCAAAATATTTTGATATATTTATTGTGACAGAAAGTAGTTCGGCTACATGTTGAAGAAATATGAGATGTTTTCTAATTTAAACAAATAGATTTCACGCGACTATAAATAAGCTTTGGGCTGATCTCCCTAAAGAAGAAACCAGATTTCGGAATCAGAAACCTATAACATTTATATCTTTCCAATCTTGTGCCAAAGGGGATAAAAAGGTTCTATTCAAGTCATCATAGATATTGAAGAACAAAACTGTATTGATTTTTTCCCGACATCCCAGAAGAAAAAGTGGATTCATTCTGTAAGTAGTTTGGTTATCAAGCCAACAACAATTAAATTTAAGTTCATGTTAACAGATTTACAAGTCACTCTTTTTATTACGCCTAGAAATCACAGAGAGTGGTATTGTAAAATGTTTTGTTAAACAATATCTATATATCTTCTCTTAGATCTATCCCTAAGTTAATCAATCTTGAGAATAACCTATTAGCTAGCATTCATGGCATCATGTTTGACATTACTAATCAACATCTTTAGACCTTTATAAGATATGACAACCGACTGTACTTTAATATACTTGCTGATAAATTTACAGTGAATTGTAGGGTGTAGGCAGTAACTACCAAAGACAAATGGGTGAGGTCGCGCAAAATCCCTAGATCAATCAGAGTTAGACATTAACACCGTTGGATGCCGGCCCAGTGGTCCGATGGTAAGGCGTTCGCCTACAATGCCAAAGGTCCCGGGTTCGAATCCTGCGAGGAGCAGGAGTCGTGGATGCGCACTGCTGAGGAGTCCCATACTAGGACGAAACGGCCGTCCAGTGCTTCCAGGTTTCTAATGGTGGTCTAATAATGATGATTGATTAATGATTTCAAATGTGTAAATTGTAAAATAACTGATAAAACCAGCTTTAGTTGGTTTATTGAATTGAATTTAAACAGTAAAACACGAGTTTAGTTATTATTCAGTGATCAATTAAAGTAGATACTTCACTCCTAAAGGAGGTCAAATATAAGTTGAATAATCTATAGCTTGAGTCTCTGACTGTGACAAAGAGTAATATAAATTCAAATCCAATAAGAAACATCAATTCCTGTAAGATAGATAGATATATGACTAGATAAATAGACGGATACTAATGAAGACTGATCTTATTCTTCAAAGGTTATCTATATTTTTTTATGAATGTAAATCAGGTCTTTATTATATCTTGTTTATCTCATCTAGTTTCACTATCTATTCGGTCAATTGGATAATCACTTTGAATTTTTGAAACTTAACTAATTTAGAGGTATAATTCATTGCAAACCATTTTAGATTAGGACATTTTTCTCTTGTCATAATTTAAATCTCCTATGCAATGCATAACTTAGACTCCTATTCATTTAACATAAAGGTCAATTTATTGTATGTTATTTTTAATGTAGAATCTGTTATTCAAACCAGTTGTCATTGTTTTAACTATGAAATATATAAGAATTCTTTTTTGGGTAAAATAAACTGTGTTTAATTGTTGCTGTCAAAATCATGTGAGTTAGATTTTTTTTTTATCTCTTATTTCCAAGACAAGATTGTTATCTACTATTTAAGACAGTCTAAGCAGATAGTTACAAAACATAATAAGATATCTGAAAATATGCTTTTTAGATAAGATCAAATGAATCGTTGAACAAAGATGTTTAATTTTAAAAATAGTACATTGTTTGTCAGTATGGGATGATGTGTAGATTTTCATAATTTAAATCACAAACTGTTCACTGCCAGAACATTATTCGAAACCTGGAAACACTGCACAGCTGTTTCGTCATAATATGAATTTCTTCAATAGTGCTCATCCACAACTCCACATCTGGCAATCACGTTCATCACTTTTGATCTTGTGTTCGAAACTGTAGTTCAGTGCATTCAAATTTTCAATGGTTAGTTAGGAATTCAAACTATGAACATTTAAAAACTGTGCACAGAGTAGACCTTAATGACACTGAATCACCTAGAATGGGCTTCTATACAGCATTACCTTCTAGATCACATAACTAACTTATAAACATATACACTGATGACTTAGTAATTTCATTTTACTAAAATATAACATAAAATTAAATGGGAAAAACGGAATAATGCATGATTTTATTTTACTTTTAATGTAGGTTGCTTTTAACGAAGAATATTTTCGATCAGTGAAAACCGAAGTATTCTGTTGTGTCTTGCACTGGAACCAGTCAATGATGTTGTTATACAGCTCTTAGTGAAATCAGAGTTAAAATATTTCTAATTTATGTATAAGATTGACTATAACATACTGGATGTTGACAACGAAATATATATGGACGCTGATGAATGTCAAAAATCTTAACTAATGTATTTCCATTTCAAGGAATTTTAATATTCAGACTTCGGGCAATCAGTCATAACTAATGTACAATCTGGCACATAAGTACGTCTGTTCATGTTACGATGCTACACTCCATCATATGAAAAAAAATCATAACCCTAGTCATAGTAGTAACAGTGGTATCCGTAGTAGTAGGAAATATTACCAGGAAATTTCATTCAAAGAGAAATAATGATTTCTCAGGGTGAAAAATATCAGTATTCTATGACAAAAGATGAATGCATCTGCTCTATTGTGAAGGATTGTGATTCATTTCACATAAAGTCCTCAGTCGCTGACTAAGGTTATCCCAGAAACCCCATAAAGGCAGTCGCAATTAAAAACAACCGATGACTTGACGAGTTGATGCCACGTGTTAGCATGGTTTCCTCTAACTTTCTTTAACCTTACTTCTACAACAAGAAATATTGTCTACCCTGACAGGTTGTAGTCCATAATAACTAATGTGTCCTAACAATATCGGTCAAAGAAGATTCATTACCTCCCCAATCGATTTGCCATCCTTACGTAATGCTCTTTAACGAACTTCAACACCGATTACTCGGTGCTTCCAACATGTCCTCGTAATTGTTTCTAATACGAAGAATTTACGAATATCATCCATTTTTAAAAGTCACATTTTATATCCATAAACTAGAACAGAACAAACTGTCACAGAGTAATCTCGTTCTTTGGTTACCAGATGGACATCTCTCATACATCACAAGTACATAAGTTGACAGAAGCTGTATTTAGATCTCGTCAGGCAAAAAGCTACTAGGGGTATAGAAATTTTCAAGATGAATTAAAAATAGTTTTCATGCTCAACTGTTTCACTCTCCATCATTAGTTTAGGTGTTGACGTTATAACACTTCCACTGTGTGTTCAATTTTTTTGCTAGAAATTACATCTACCCAATATCAACATGCACGGAATAGTATAATTAATGTTGAAGAATAGACTACTTACTTTACTTGTTACCATTACATTGTCGTATATGACACAAAAATGTTTTATAATCCTAATCGTTTTTGTTTATACTTTGTGAATATTATTTAATATTTTAATTAACATAACTTTAAATACTTTATTTTTCATTCTGTTTTTGTATGACAATAATCTTCAGTTTTAAGTAGGTTAATGAAATTTCTCATTTCAATATGTAGTCAAATGACGAAATAAAAATGAAAAAGTTTATGCTGATGATGTTGTTCAGAAGAACAATGAAAGCCACGTAACCAAAACATTCAGCTCAAAGAACGAAACTCCATCACAAATTTCTTTTCAGTGAATTTTTCATCATGACTTTACATTGATATATCTTTAAATCATTATAAGTAGTTGATTTGTGTATTGTTATGAAGATTACAAATCATACTATTCATTTCTAAGTTTTAATTTGTACTCTGTTGGAAATGTTCAGGAGGTGGTAACTATTATGTAATCAGTAAACTCATCTCAATCCATCCAATCACTTGACTTGATCAGTTACGTAAGCAAACCAAAAAAATGTAAGTACTGAGCGTATAAAAAAATAATTTAGTATTAACAAACATAAAGAAATACAATAGACATATTGATTTGGAAAACAAATCAAAAAGTGATGTCACATATACTCATGAACAGATTTAATTTTATTGAACAAACTGTTGTAGTGGTGTTTCGTTCATTGAGCTGGATGTTTTGGTTGCGGAGCTTTCATAGTTCCCTTCTAAACAACATCATCAGCACAAACTTTAGATAGAAGTGAAGCATTCGAATTTCTCCACGTTTGACCTGTAGCTTGTTCTGCTAACCTCGACCTTGATTGACTGCTGTTGACCTTAAACCTGTCGTTGTTTGTACCTTTGTTTTGATTGTATCCCCCTTTTGATCTGTTTCTTGATCCTGATTGATTGATAAATTGGGTCAATATCGATGTGTTTGTTGATTGTTGATTAACCTGAGTGCCAAGCTTCTAAAAATTCTCTGATGTTCCTTGTTTTCCCTCTATCCAGTATTCCCACATTTTCACAATCAAATGTCGGTGTGTATTGATATAAGCGAAGAATTGTCATGGCGTTTGACTGCTAATTGATGTTCACGTAAACGAAGCTGAAGAGGTCGTCCACTTTGTCCTATGTAGTGTTTTTCACAGTCTGAGCAATTTATTTTGTAGATGATATTTGGTTTTTCTTCCTTTGTCATTTTGTCCTTTGGTCTACGTAGGATTGATTGAAGTGATTCTGTTGGTTTGTGTGCCACACCTATTCCAAATGGTTTCAGTAGTCGTGCTGTATGTTCCGATATGTCTTTTATGTATGGTAGAATGATCCGTTTATTGGTTTCTGTACTTGATTTCGCTTCTGTTGACGATTTCGGTTGATGTTTTTTGATGAAGTTGCGTGGATAGCCGTTCTTTTGGAAGATAGTCATAAGATGTTTTTCCTCGTTTTTTAGTGCTTCGTATGTGCTGCAGTGTGTCTTCGCTCTCTTGAACAAAGTTTGTATGCAGTTGATTTTGTGGGTTCTTGGGTTGTTGCTACCGTAGTTGAGAATTACGTCTGAGTGGGTTGGCTTCCAAAATACTTGAGTTTCCAGTATTCCTGTGTTAGTTCTGGTGATCAGTACATCCAGGAATGATAGACTGTTGTTTGATTCATCTTCCATCGTGAATTTGATGTCACCGAAGACGTTTTTGATCTTATTGTAGATGTTCTCCAGCTCGTTCCTTTTGCTAATGACGAATGTGTCGTCTACATAGCGAACCCATATTTTTGTCTTGATCACTGTTAAAATCGACGCTTCTAGTGTCTGCGTTACAGCTTCCGCGATAAGTTCTGATATTGTTGATTTCATTGGTGATCCTTTTGTTTGTTCATAGACTTTGTTGTTGAATTGAAAATACGTTGTTAAGCATAGATCAATGAGTTCAAGCAGACTTTTGCTCTGAAGCTTTGTATATTTTCGCAGATTTGTGTCGTTGATGAGTTTCTTTCTCTAAGCTTGGCTCTTTCGAGGTGAATAAGGCTGTTACGTTGAAGGATATCATCGTTTCGTCATTGTCGATTTGAATCTCCTTGAGTTTATCCAAGAATCGTGTGGCGGACTTGATGGGGTAGTTGAACTCATCCACCAGATATTTTAATATCCTTGAAATATCTCTTGATAAGTTGTAGGTCGTGGTAGGGCGTAGTGGAATGTTGGATTTGTGGAGTTTCAGCCTACAATCTGTTGTCTAATAGTCACAACACTAATCATTCAATTAACAAATAGCAAGTTCAAAACTTTTCATCCACTTAATTTAAATGAGACAGTCAAATACGATTAATAACCGTCTATACAAACAGTATAATTCACACCCGAGTATATGAATATACATTTTTTAAATAGGACGTATTTCTTCTTATTCATATTCATGATAATAATAACAATAATAATAATAACAGCAATCTATGAAATCCTTTTCTAGTTCCCACCATTTTTTAATTAGAATTAATTACCTCTAGCAACACAAATATTAACCCCATTATTAAATATAGCCTTAATTTAAAATGAATTCATACTAAAGTCCAATTCAAATATGATTCATATTGATAAAAAACAAAAACATAAATAACTTACTTTTATGATATTTTCATTTGTATAACAAAATGAACAAGACAAGAAATTGGAATTTAATAAATTTATTAATTTTTCTTGTTTATCACAAGTATTATCAATAGTTTTTGTTGAAATTAAAGCATTGGTTAGTGATATTGTCGATGACATAGATGCAATTTCAATAGATGGTGTTTGATTGGAATTTTCGGAATAGGAAATATTTGTCTCTTGATCAGATCCAACATCATTTTCACTAGTTATTATGGGTGAATTCTCTTCAAAATGCAACATTACTCCAGAGTTGTACAGTTAATAACAATGATATATCAATAAATGTAAAGCGTAAAATTCAAATATTTTTGCTTTTTAATGATAATAAATACTATGGTGATTTTTATTTACTGTTCAACTTAAACTGCTCTCATAATCATTCTTTATTGGTGATGTTCAAAGTAGTTCAGTGTTATCAAGTAACTGGTCATTAATTAACTACATACTTATTTGAATTATTTTTTAGACTCTCAGCATCGTCACTTTGTGTTTGAATGAAAATAAGTAAATAAATAAAATTTATGCTGGTCATCCACCCCCCACCTTTGTATTGTAGAATTAAAAATTTGAATTAGCTGACCATAAATAAATAAATATTCTACATATATTCGATATCTAAACACCAACATATCACACAATAATGTAGATATTTCAAGATAAAATTTAAAAAAAAGTCTTATTATAACAAAAAGATTGCAAAAATTGACAATCAAGATAAAAATAATGGTAACAATGATAAATTAGTTGGTGATTGTGTTTAAGTTTACTTGTCTTTTTCTTCAACTATCTAGGTAGTCAATGCCTATTAGATTTGAATGATGAATTGGCGCAAAATCCTTAAATTTATTTGTTTGTTTGTTTGTATATATATATGTTAGTGTTGCATCTTTGTTTGTATCGACCAACAACGTCTTTTGCGTAAATCAACGAAAGCGAAATGATCATTCATTTCACTATAAATTTATAATTTCTGAAAATAAAATATATTTTGAAGCTTAACTTATTAATCTTTTCCTAAAGATAAGCCATTTATTTGTAGGAAATTCAACTCTGTATTATGAATTTGATTTTTAAAATCTTACGATTACTCCATAGAAATGTCTTCAATAAGGCATTTTTGTAGTGTTAAAACTTGATATAAAAATTAGTTGATTCACCTTTTATTAATTAAAAACAAACAAACATGATTGTTCAGTATATGATAAGTTCTGATTTTCAGCAAGTCTGAGATGGATTTAACCACTCTCTACCTTCAGTTGGTGAACTGACAAAGATAAACGAAGTACCAAATGATTACTTCTTTCGAGACACCAACTCTTCAGTAGCTTATACTCATGGTCTATCAGAGAATCACTGGGTTAAAATTCAATAGTAAAAGTTGTATGCACGAGACCTAAAGGTTTTAATTGGACCGCGTTAAGATCTTCGTAAAAGAGTTGATGAAATAGTTGTTTAGTGCCCTTAGTTTCAACCAAATGTTGCTGATAAATGTAAATAAAGAACAGGTTATTGAGGGTAAGCGGTCAGACTTGATCAGTCCTATAGTTTACATACATATTTATTTACGTTATTATACGGTTATTAAAAATAAGACCTTTCATAGAATCTTCATCTTCTCTTTCGAAATTATAGGCTGATCAAACATTTAAGAATGTGGATCGCTAAAGTGAATTAGATACTTAAACATAACAGGTTCACCATTTGGATTTGACCCCAATTTCAAGTTTGGTATATCAATCACGAAATTCAGGTTTATCAATATAAACATTTTTTGTGAATAGAATTTTTTTTTGACTGATCAACTAACGAAATATTTTACATTAAATAAAAAAAATAGATGGAGACAAATCTATTATTTACGTCTTCACAGTTGATGATCTCAATCATTGATTGGATGAAACATCCATTCACCAAAACAGGATAGTAGTCAGTTCATAGAGATGCCAATTCAAATTGTAACATATTCATAACTGATAGAAAGAAAAGTTTTACAAACTCTAAATTATGATACAAGACAAATTCAAGACAAATTAAAATCAAATTCAAACGAAATAAATGACGAGAAAACTGTTGAAGAGAGACTAGATAAATATATGATCTGATATTTTCAACTTAGACTACTTTAACGAAAGAAACATCATTTTTCTACTATCTACACAGTTAATACTAACAGAAAGAATTGTCGATGAGTGGTATTCAGTAAGAATTTGATTACTTCATATCTATTTCACACATATATTAACTCTCAAAGGATTTAGCATATTAGTAGTAAGCAATAAATACTATTAACAGGTTTCTGAATTAGTTTACTCTCTTAAACTTGTAATTAGCATAATCAGCTAAACTTTGTAAATGCTGATAAGATACTGTGTAGATAGTGTGGGAAATAATGATTTTCAATTATTTTTTGGTTTTTATAAGGGGCATATAAGAATACACAGTTTTTTTATTCTAAACTTCCGCTGAATTAATATCTAGTGCACAGAAACGTTGTAGATAATATTTCTAAACTGGTTATCACGTTATAATAGTTTGAACAAGATGAGATTCTAGAAGCGATAGTTTATTGAGATAATAATAGTAATTATAGCATTATCTTCGTATACAATGTTAATATTTAAATGCTTATGATGGATTCCTGAAAGTTATGATGAAGACAGTGAAGTGATGTATGAAATCATGAATAAAAACTGATGCATATCATGGTATATTAGTAACTGACTGAATTCATAACAGGCGGACGTTTAGAATTCAATTTGATAGTCTAAACGTTTTATACTACTCATTACCAAACCTGAAGTGAAGTTTTGCATCCGATAATTAAAGTGAATCTACTGATAGATCCTTCTTCACCCATTATTCTGTTAAGAGCCACCTAGTAAAATAGCTGATTCACTGTGTAACGCATTCGAAACCTTACTGAGTTGATGGCTCATCTTTTTCTCTTGTTCTTTCTTCTTTCAGGTAGTCTCACACGCTGCTCCTCACAAATCCCAGAACATAAGGTACCTCTGGGCTAAACGCAAACCAACCAAAAACTGAAGTTATAACTCATTCAAATGAAAAAAATTACATAGTTTTATATATGGTAGTGTAAATTAGATTCAATCATCATAACATAAGCCTTAGTGATAACCTTAATGTACTAAATTAGCATTTTTTTAGTAGGAGATTTAAGAATTTTATTTTCGAACAACATATATAAGCGAACAAGGTTATTTTCAGTTAGATTGTTATCAGGCTTTACTTTAATTTACATGAATATGTATATGAAAATGTTCGAACTAATCAAGACAATCTAGTATGAGTCAGTAATCACAACGGATTAGATTACGTAACTGCATGTAATAGATAAAAGTACAAGTACAATAACAAAAGTATCTAAAATATGTTAGGTTTGTCACTAGGTACACTTGAAACTATTACGGGTTCACCTTAGTCGATAAACGCGAATGAGACAATGAACCAGCTTCCAGGTAGGCTACGCTGATCTGAAACGGCTAAAGAGAAGTCTTGATAAGCATAGAAAGTATATTCTACAAACACCGAGCAAGCACAATCAAATCAAGCACATAAATCTCGTTTATTTATACATCACAGAAACATCCTTGGGACAGTCACAAAAATAGCACACTAAAATATACAGCAGAGAATCACAACCAAGGAAATTCCTGGTGGGAAATAAAATCTCAAGGTCAACTGATCAGCCCATGCTCGCAAACGTGAAATCCAAAATGAGACATTTATCAAGCGAGTTCTGGAGATCTAACGTCCCCAACAAATAAAGATAAAACTATTGTTGAATATCACATACTTTTCAGTATGTTTAACAGTCAGTGTTTAAAAAAATATTTTAGTCAATGAAGTACACACGTAAATCTATCACATTTTAAATTTTATCCAATCGTCTTAACAAATTGATTTTTGAATTGTATAAAATCTTCACAAAAATTGCTCTATATGGTGTATATAGTGTATTGACATATGATTCATTTAAATTTTCCAATATTATTTCAGCTTTGTGAATGAATAGTGAAATTATTTTAAAGTATATTTTTGATGATAAATTTCAAACTGAGAAGTATATATTTTTAAAATTTGTTTCGAAAAAATGGCGCGAAAATTTATAAATGAGAAAAAACGAAAGAAATATATCAAAAGGTAATCGTGTGAAATACAGCAAAGAAATTTTTTGATGAGATTTTAGTGCCTTATCAGTAGATCGCCGATAAACAATATTTTCATAATTACAATTTCTTAGCTTTAGAAAAATTATGGTATTCATTGCTTTTCATGCAGGAATAATAAATGAATGAGAAAAATAGTAAATAATCAATGAAAAATTTGAGAAAATTAGACAATTTCTTATACTATTTGTGGATAATTTTCCAAAAGTGTTGACAGTTATCCTTTTTTTTAGCGTAAACTAGTTTAACAGAGATTAAGGAGAGAAATCAAAAGAAGCTTAGTTTTTCTGGAGATTGTATATAATCCCAGTACATCGGTTTATCGATTTCTATTGATTATATTATGAGATAATCTGTAGTGCGCATCCACGACTCCTGCACCTCGCAGGATTCGGACCTGAGACCTTCGGTATTGTGCGCGAACGCCTAACCATCGGACCACTGAATAATATGCATTTCATATTCATCCAATTAAGTTCTTTTCTCGTCAGAATACAATCAACTACATGACAGTCGATTCTATTGGCGACACAAGACAACTGGACCCATTAAATTTAAATCTAAGACAATAGACATTTTGTTCATTTATCGTCTCTATCTGCAATATCACCATTACCTTTAAGGTTTATTTTTAAAAATATTCTTTCTTTAAATTCTAAGTAAAAGTTAACAGATATTCTTTGCTACGTGCAAACATTGTTTCATTACCTGATCCCATTATAACTACTATTTACTTTTTCATTGCTCATATTTTTTCAGTCAACTTGTTCAAATATTTAATAAACTTAACCTATCTTTTAAATATTCATGATTAGGAAATATTAAAAATATTTCATGGTATGTACTTTTTCATAGCCCTTAATTTCAAAGTTGCATCTTTGATGTTTGAATAGACTCAGAGACATTTACCTAAAAAAATTGAACTGAACTGAGAGTTAAAATGAAATGATATAATTATTTTGTTAATTAGAGTATATAAGAGAAAATGTGTTGCAAAACTCATTAGTATTACAAAAGAAACACTGTAAACCTACTAATAATGTTAGTTTAATAAAAATGTACTGTCAAGTATTGACTTACTATAACTCATCATATGAATAAATGAATCATTCTTAATACACTGAATTACATCAAACTAATTGCAGTTTAACGATTTTTTAGTAGTTTTTGTTAGAATCCAATACAATAAACACCAATATTATGACTTTATGTTATAAACCTTTTACATTTAATAAATCTTGTTCTTTTTATACTGCCTTGATTGAAATGAAATATATAACGACAGTTTTAAAAGCAGCATTATCTTTAAGATTATTTAAAACGGTATTTTCATTTTTCCAATGAGTGTTACGGAGATCAGTGTTTTTACACATTTGAAATCATCAATCAATCATTGTTAGACCACCATTAGAAACCTGGAAGCATTAGACGGCCGTTTCGTCCTGGTATAGGACTCATCAGCAGTGAGCACCCACGACTCCTGTATCTGGCAGGATTCAAACCCATACTAGGACGAAACGGCCGTCCAGTGCTTCCAGGTTTCTAATGGTGTTCTAACAATGATTGATTGATTTCAACCAGCATTTTCATTCCTCTAGTTTTCTTAACTAACTACATCGTCTGTTAAATGTGACTAGATCCAAACCGTAGAAAATAATGAACTTCAATAATTTAGTGCATAAAACATATGGTGTTTTATGCTTCTTATCTATGGCTTGAAATTCAAAATTTTAGTGTCAAGTAATAGGCGTAACCAAATTGAAATTTATCTTTCTTAATGCTTGATCAACCTACAGATAAGTCAACAATGTCTTGCTGAAAATGTAAAGAGACTGAAATATGTACGACATTTTTATACTGTTTATGAATTTTTCAAATCTATAATGGCTTTTTACATTAAAAAATAATCAAAACATGCTCTATAAAGAAAATGTTTCATTTCATTTTAAAAGCTGTAAACGGTTCTCATTAAAACTATCCCCTCAAGTCTTCGTTTACACTTGTCGATCAGTCAATGAATCGGGGTTGTAAATTATAAATTATGTCCAAATTGGTGTCGTCATATGTTAGTCATAAGAGTGTCTGTTAACCTCAGCATCCTTAATAATATGATTTGAATGAGATTTAACTTGAAATAAAGATAAAGCTAGTCTTCAAAAACTCACTGTAATAAAACTATGAGCACAATAGTGTCTTTAGGACGTTCGTTCGTACTCGTTAACTGGCCATTAGGGATTCATTTAAAACATGTCAAGTACTTGACAAGTGTATCTTTATCAAAATAATCTTTCAGACGCCTGCTAACTGGCATTAATCGTAAAATTCCACTATAATACCTAAACTTTTCCTTCAATCAAACCTGATTAGTCTGATGATGTATCTATATAATTATGAACAGCCAATGAAATTAGAATATTCAGTGAAATAATTTAGAACACTAAAGTAAACAAATACAATCGTGAAAACTTGTGACAAGGATTTAAAAACTCAAATAACTTTTAATGTAAGCATAAGTTAGCATAAGTAGGTTTAACAAGTGAAAAATGCGTATTATATAAAATTGCATTATGGGGTTGTGAAGATTGTTAAGTCGCACATTTCGAAACCATGACTCGATCAATGTTAGACCACCATTAGAAACCTGGAAGCATTAGACGGCCGTTTCGTCCTGATATGGGACTCATCAGCCGTCCAGTGCTTCCAGGTTTATACTGGTGGTCTAACATTGATCGATTCACGGTTTGAAAATGTGTATTATATAAAAACAAGGTGACCAGTCGATAGAGTTTAACTAATTAATCCTAGTTTTATAATTTTAAATGACTAATTGGAAATTCACCGAGTAAGTAGCATTATTTTACTACGAACTATTATAGTGTGTTATGGAATAAAGACTTCGCACATAACTATTTTTTTCAAAAACCGAAAACGAAATATTTCATCGAAAATTTATTGTGACCAGTAGTATTGACCTTAATGTCCACGGTCATATGAATGATTTAAATATTGGGTATTATCTTAATCTAGATTTTTTAAAAAATGTTTACTGCTTTGCATTGTCAACAACAACAACAACAACACAATGTCTAATCTGTTTGTACCGTTTATCCAAATGATAGTTGACAGTATACTATTTTCATGTATTGATTTAGGTTATTTTACACTTGAACCATTCATTTCAGTAATTAATATTACAAAGTTGATCATAGGAAAATGACATCGTCCGAAGGACTAAACAATATGATTAACGTTACTCTCCAGTAAACAAGTCAACACGGTCTGAGTAGCTAGCTCAGTGAACTTGTCCATAATTATACTACTAAATACTGATACTGAATACTTGAAAGAAAATGAATTACCTAAAGAATGCATACTGTTGCGTACTAAAAATCACAAATATCCTGTATGTATGTATGTATATATACACACACATAAATCATTGTGTACGTTTGAAAAATGTATGCTTAGACGATTCCATTTTCATTAAGATAAACTTCATTTAATGGCCTTTCACGTGAAACATATTAATAGAGCATTTTGTTTTCTTTAATTTTACACATTGTAACATTGTTTATTTAATGGAAATGACTAAAGAAAAAGAAAAGAGAGATAGAGGAAAATGATGAACTTAACACAAACTATTTTCAATAAATAATCATTAAGAAACAAACCAGCAAGCAACAACCACATTAAAATATTTGGAACAGCATTTAAATTAACACAGTTAAAGCCAAACTTCCTACTTACATATGTTATTTATTAACTTATAGATAAGGTTATGTTGTGTTTACTAACCTTTATATTTATTGGAAATGCTTATATGAAATTCTTAATCATTAGATAAGTAATTATTAATTAGAAAACTGATAAAGCATTAAACTCATTGTTATCTTTGTTTTGATCATTACAGCTATTCATAGAATAAATACTGAAGATTATCATGACAAAAATCGTCAGTATTAGCTGTGAACGTAAATACTCAATGAAATCAATGTAACTCGACAGTTCGGCTAGTTAAGCGTGATAGAAATATGAAAATGGTTCATTGAGTTGTTGGTAGATTTTTAAGAATGATTTTATCGTGAACAAATGAAAATAATGTTTTCCCAGAATGATAACATTGTTTTATTTGCTTACGGAAAGTGAACCTTGAACAAAAATTAGTTTATGAAAAGAACGATTCAGGGTAATCAATTAGGAGTAAGAAAATATACCAGTCTCTTATACTAATGAGTTAAGTTTACCCTTTTGATTCTACTATGCATATTCAGAAAAACTAGGCAGCGTACTTAAAGTATGTTTCACAAAAATAAATGTTTCGGAAATTCCGTCTTTCTATGAGATATCTTTTAAGATAGGGAGTATAGTAGTTGAGCTTGTACTCCACTTCACTTGTGTTGGCAGTCTCATCGACCCTGATAGCCTCGTGTCTGGCAAAATATCGACATGGATACGTAAAACTCGAATGGCTTTTGTCCACTGTCATCACTTGTGGTGTAGGAGAGGTATCTATCAGTAAACTGAAACACGAGTTTACTATACAGTAGTTCGATTCGTTCTACTTTATCCGTGCGAATTATAGCCATTAATAATAGAGTATTTGTAGGTTATTAGTAATCGATCACAGATGTCTCCGAAACATTACTCGTGTATTCTAGGACCATCAAGCAACTAACTTGAACTAATGTAAGTATGTACCAAGTCCTACATTGCAACTGACTGATCACCTAAGATATGATGCTCACATTTAAACTTGGCTCATAATATGAAACAAACGCGAACTAGGCCTAATACAGCTGCTAAATTTCACTTGCCTTTCTAAATTAGAACAATCAGTCTAGACAGAAAGTCACTATACACCTGAAGGCTTAATTAAGTCAGTTAACTGAACTAAATACAAAACCAGTCTTAACAGACAGGACCTTGTGATATTTGAGGATTAATACTCAAGTCAGTAAACTTGCATCTAGGCGGAATTGAAACTGCTATCTTCTAGATGATCAGTTTTTTACTATAAAAGATTATAACATGCGATAAAAATGCCAACCAAATTGTGAAATGTTTTTAGTCATCGTAGTAGTACAGCCATTCTTAGTCAATGTTGCTTTATGAACTAATCAACAATATTCTTGTCATTCAACTAACCTGCGTTATAAACAATTCAGGCTAACTGTAACTACATTTACATATATATATATATATATATATATATATATATATATAATATTTCATATAGATATATGTTATACAGAAACAAGTAAAAAGCATTCATTATTGATGTACAAAAAGCATGCATAGTCATTAGAATCTTTTAAGAACAAAATAACAACGAATAAAAAAAAAATTCAAAGAGATTGCATTGAACAATTTGCATAAAAAACGGAAAAAGCAAAACAAATGGAGGTAAAATATATATATATATAAACAAAAAATTGAAGCGAAAAAATTTTTTTCAATAAACTAAGATGAATCTTTTGTATGAAGCTTCATAATCCATGTTGAGAATTGTAGTAGTAGTAGTAATGTGTATGACAATCATGACTCAAAAAGCCTACAACATCATAGTCGATATTGGTACATACACAAAAAAAACGTGCATGGACATAACATATGAGATCGAACAGATGCCAGATGATATATATATATATATATATATATATATATATATATATCGTGAAATGACAAGAATTAAAAAACTACAAACTGATACACAATGTGAGTGATCAATAATAATAATGAAACACTGGTTAAACCAAATATAACGTATACACACACCTAGAAAGGAAGCATTCATGTAGTTAGTTAGTTACAATACAATAATGCACAATAATAGATAATATACTGGACAAGTAATAATAAGAATAAGAATAATAATAATAACGATGATTAAATACAACTAAGAATGACAAACAATTAATTTTTTTTTTAAAAAAAAAAGAACAAAACAGAATATGTATAGATAATTGAACACAATACACTGATTAAAATAATACTTATAATTAAATCCTACAGCGTATAAAGAAAAACACACAATACGAATAAAAGCAAATTTAACAGCAGTCAAATGATTGGAAGAGAAAAAAAAGCATCAACAAACACAAACGCGTTTTTTTGTGTGTGTGTGTGTGCGTGTGTGGAGAGTTATTAGACCTTTTCGTTGTGTTTATTATGTCATAAAAATACAGCAGCTGCATAAATTGGTTAGGGATAATGCACTTACTTGCTTTTTTTTAACAACAAATATATATATTTTTTAAAAAAAAAGAATCCTAGGACTAGGTGATGCATGATGATTTTGGAATATACGGATGATAACAATGATGCGAGCATGATTTTTTTTTGTTAAAAAAAAAGACAAAATATGTGATAAAACAGTGTCGGCTCAACAAAACAATGAAATCCGGCATGCGACGAAAGTAGAAGGCAAACCAAAATGGGGATTAGTTTTCGTTTTTTTTTTGTAAACAAACAGGACAAATTAAACAGCTAAGAGAAAAGGGGAGTAAGTAGGTAGGTAGGTATATAATGAAAGAAACTATGTCAATCCAAAGGAGATAGATCTCTTGAAAAAATCGTGAAATTTCATGATAAATGAGGAATGAATGGAATATTTTGGTTGGTTAGCTAGCAAGAAGAAAAAATTTATGGAATAATTTGCTTGTTTACCACTTGATTGATTTTAAGAATAGATTTTCCTAATTTTGTATGGTAAAAGTAGAAATGGGACAGGAGAATTGACAAGAACCATGTTGCATGTTTGTTTTTTTAAACTGCCGGATTGTAGTTTCGATCAAGAGTTGGTAAACGATTTGATGTGCCCTTGTGCTTCTCACTTCCATATTCACCGATGAAGGAGCCTTCTTCATTGAATTTACCTATAGAATTTTTTAAACCAGAAAACATAAGGTATTTTAATCATGAACCATGTTACGTCAATCATCAAGTATTAGGACAGAATGTAATTCAATGGTTACATTAATAAATGAACAACCAATACTATTATACGGATAGAAGACAGTAATCACTTTTTCCAACTGAAGTGACATATTTATGTTGATTTGCAAGAGAACATATGGATAAATCACTCGTTCATTACGTACAACTTCAGTTTATGAGTTGCGATGTTAGCTGCTAAAACATGAGTGAGTCAAGTTTTGATTTGGAACGGTCGTAGCAGAGAAGACGACTAGTATAGCAGCAGCAGCAGATCTTAATATACACAAGGGAAAAAGTAAGATTCTCCGATTCAACACAACATTCACCAACCAAATCACACTTGATGGGGAAGCTTTGTAGGATGTGGAAACCTTTACATTGATGAGCAAGCTTGATCTGAAGCAGATGTGAAGGCGCGGATCCGCAAAACAATGGCAGCATTTCTACAATTGAAGAACATCTAGGAGTCGAAACAACTATCAATCAACACCAAAATCAGGATTTTCAGTACAAACGTCGAGACAGTTCTACTTTATGGAGTGAAAACTTGGAGAACTACAAAAGCCATCATCCAGAAGATTCAAGTATTCATTAACAGTTGTTTACGCAAAATAATTCGAGTCCATTGGCCAAACACCACCACCAACAACCTACTATGGGAGAGAACAAACGAGATTCTAGCGGAGGGAGAAATCAGGAAGAAGCGCTGGAAGTAGACAGGACACACACTGAGGGAATCACCCAACTGAGTCGCGAGGCAAGCCCTAACTCGGAATCCCCAAGGTCATAGGAAGAGGCTGATCAAGGGACACATCACAGCGGATATCGGAGACAGATATGAGAAGAATGAATAGTACTTGGTAACAACTGTAAGGAGAGCTGAGGACAAAGTTGGGTGGACAATGCTGGTCGGTGGCTTTTGCTTCATTAGGGGCAAGAGGCGTAAGCAACTAAGAGTAAACACTAAAAATCCATTCAAAAAACAGTTAAACTGAGTAGTAACTTTGCTTTTAGAGTGGTGAATTTACTGACACAAAAACAATACATAAAAATAGAATATTCATTAAAAAGTAATACTGTTGTTTAATTAATTGGCTAAACAAACAACTCGTTGAGTAATACAGAGAAAATAAAGAATAAAAAGTTATTAGAAATTTACCAGGATCGAGATTATAATCGTCTAGTTCACCATCTGCATCACTACCAATTTCAGCACTGTCATCATTTAGTGAACAACGACTGCCTCGAAGTGGTGGCTCCTCTCTAAAAAAAGAATAACCGATTAAAATTAGTTAGATTTATTTCAACGCATGTCTACGAAGCAACTGCTTGAAATAGATTTTTAACGACTGCTAAAAAAATCTTTGAGATTTCGTCATAAAAAACTTCACAAGTGCACTAACGATAACTATTTACTTGTTATAAATAAACTTACGATGCAACTAATTTACGTCTGTTCAAAATGTTTTAAAATAATAAAGAGACTGCTTAACTGTATATAATTGTGTGAGTGATTATCAATTTTCATTGAGGGGGAAGGATACGATCTAGTTTGTCAGACTGAAAGAGATGGGGTGGGATTTAAGCCAATTCCAACTCACACAAAGTTCAATTCAATTGTCAATGACCTAAAGAGCTGATACTAAATGTTTATTTAGTTGCTTTTACGATTCTTGCAATGAAGCCATCAAATTTCAGTGTAGGAAGTTGATGGGACGGATTACATTTGTCATTACTACCTCAATGGCTATTTCTAAAGCTTCGCCAATCGTTTTGCTATTTTACCTAGAACCATACGTTTAATTTCAGCACGACTTATGATAAGGTTTCAGTACGTGAGTGATACTTTAAAGATACCTGTAATCAAAAGCTCCTTTGACGACAGCAATAAAGTAAGACACACCATCATGCTCATCACTTGGGAAGGAGAATAAGTTCTCAACCATGTCACAAACACTACAAGTTAGTAAAAACCTAAACAAGCTCTTTGCATTCACACCAATGTTTTGTTAAAACGACGACGTGACAAGGTTAGTGAAAATGACATAACGAATCGGATAGTGAAGGACCCCAGTTAGTTCAAGTTCTATAGGTAAGAAAAATTATTAGTCTTCAAGCAAACATTTCGCAATAACGGATAAAGGTAGGCACCTCAAAATCTTGTATTGTTAATCAAAAAGTAAAGTTGTTCATTTTATTAACATTTTAGCCAAACAGGATTATATTGTCTGCATAAACGTCAGTAGACTTCAAAAAATACGCAGGTGACATAGTTCTGTTTGGTAAGGATACTAACAAAATGCAGTCTTCCCCCTCGAAATGCAAAATGTCGCTTTAAGATTGGGTTGCATCGGTACCTGAACTAGTGATAGGGAGTGAAGTAGTCGAACGTGCAGAACGCTTCACTTATCTGGGGAATCTCATCAGTCCTGATGGCTTGGTGTCTGATGATATCTCGGCACATATACAGAAGGCTCGGCTGGCTTTTGCCAACTTGCGTCACATATGGTGTAGACGAGATGTCCATCTGCTAACCAAAGGATGACTCTGCTGCGCAGCAGTTCGCTCCGTCCTACTATGTGGATGCGAAAAATGACCAGTAAGAGTGGAAGTAGGTTACTAGTATTAGATCATAAGCGTCTCCGAAGCATTGTTCGTATATCCTGGGACAATCGAATAAGCAATGCAGTTGTTGCGAAACGAGTTCTAAGTAGGAATGGCAAATCAATAGACGCAGTGGTGAAACTTCACCAATGGAGGTGGTTAGGGCATGTGTTACGTATGCACGACCACCGACTACCTGGACGAGCAATATTTCGTGGTGAAGGGATAGGCTGGAAGAAAGCTAGAGTTGGCCAGAAGAAAACATGGCGTCAGTCCATAAAGTCACTGACAAGTGGACTGAGCCATGTTAGTGGATGTAGACTGCCTGGTTGGGGTCCGCGAGACAACAGTAACCGATGGTTAGAAACTTTAAATGAAATAGCTCAAAATCGTTTGCAATCGCGAAGGTGCATCGATTCTTTGTTTTCTCTCTTCTGAATCCCTCTACTTTTTCTTAAATTTATCTCACTGGATTATACTTATCGAATCATATCTTCAAGCCTTAATCTTTTTCATTACTTATAATACTACTACTACGACCCCTATTACTATAAGATTTGAACTGACAGTTTAATCTCTATGTGCTAATGTGGTATGACAGCTTGAATTGATGTAACTAACAGTTGCGTCTCTGTGCTGATGCGGTATGGCAACCTGAACTTATGTACTCATGTACGAAGTTCTACATTGTAACTAACTGACTGACCGAATTGATTTAAACACTGGCTATTAAAAAATATCAAACTTTTCAGGGTAGTTTATTTTAAAAAGGCACTTGAAAATATGTCGGAATTTTTGAAAAATTAAACTTCCACTAAATTTATTAGAGATTAAACATAAATATTACTTAAAAAAAGCTAAAACTTACGCTCTTTCATAAGTTTGAAACGCTTCTTTTTCACGGAGTTCTTTTTCTGGATCATTTCCAAGAGCACGTTCTTCACGATCCACTAAAGAAACAAGTAAATTACAAAGTTGTTGATAGTCACATTCATAAATGAAATAACTACAGTAAACTAATCTATAATAATTAACGGTAGTATTGGAAGTTAGAAATATCAAATACAATGAAAACTACAAGGCTTAAAAAGTAATTTAAACTCTCGCTTTGAATGATTTATAACTCCAAAAATCAAAGAGTACTTATTAAAACATTTCGCATAGCCAACTACGATAAACATAAGGTAACTCGAAACACATTAAGTACCGAGTTAATGCTAATTCTATCTATTAAAACCCTGAGAACACTGATAAAATTATAAGAGTCGCTAATGTGATGTTTGATATCAAAGCTTTTTCAATAATAAGCAGCATAAATTTCATTTTACCCTTTGAGTTCTTTCAATTGAGTATAGTGATAGAAAACTAAGTAATAATAATGGAACACACGGTTTTAAAATTTATAATTCTCAAGTTCATATGTTTAACAGAGTTGAATTTTGTGTCAAAATGATAGAGCTAGACACCCTGCTGAACTAGATAAATGGATTTGAGAAGATATAAATTAGGCAACAGGAGAAACTGAATCGTATACAACACAAAACTTAGGTCAGGTAATCAGCATCAATAATTATGATAACAAAAAGGCGGAGAAAAAAAAAGAAAGATCAAAACAATGAATCATTTTACGATATGAAGGATATAAGGAATATTTAAATGTTACAGTTTCAAGACCGTTCTTCACAAGTAGGAAGGCTTTAAAACACATATATATCTTATGTAAATTTAGGTAGGAATTGTACAAATATAAAATCTTATTGTATTTTTTTTTAATGGGGCTAAGTTATTTTGAACTAGTAAGACATACTTCTTGTACCAATGTGAAGTGAGATGTCAGGAGTACTTAGCAAGGCAACGATATCAGTGGAATACGAGAACACATTCAGCCTATAGATCAGAATGGTCTAATTAATCTATTTTAACAGCGGGCTTACAGTCTGACTACCAAGGTGAGAAGTGCAGTGAACAGCCGATTTAGCGTTTACCTAGGGAGAACACGTTATATCAGACACTTCAAGAATAAGAGATTAACAATGATGTAATGAGAATACATGAAAAAACTTTAATCCTCCAAACTCAGTAAAAGTTTTCTAGACTGAAATTTCAATCGATGAATTAAAGTCAAAACGAATGGTAGCAGAATGACATGAAGTCTACGATAAATAACACCCTAGAATATTAAACATATGATATACTTTTATCGGACATAAACTTACGCATATAAGTTTCGCCACGGAATCTCATAACCAAACAAGCAGTTAGAACTCCGACTGCAATTATAACAAGGATACCGATAATCACAGCTGTTATCCAGGAGATGTTAGCTGATGCTATGCAGGAAAAGGATAGAGAATACAGAGAATAAATATGTACGAAATAAAATGAATAAAATGAGAGTAGCTAATAATAACAATCAGTTTAGAAGCAACAGAAGAAAAAGAGGAAGTATTAACTAACCCGGAGTTGGATCATGATCCACTTGAAGATCCAATGCTGCTGTCATAAGTGGATGGATTTTAACATCATCATGAGAGTCATAGACCTTCATATTCGGTTCCAAAAGTCTGGTATCCAGATCTGCAATACGCGAAGTCACATGTGGATAAAAGATACGCCAGCGACATGTCACATTCACTTTTCGGAACAATACAGTTAAGGACGGGTCATCAACGGGTGTGATTATCAACTAAATAAAAAAAATATATGTATACATTCCCATATATTTAAATCGTATGTTAATAAAACATTATTTCATGGTAGTAGTTGCCAGAAAACGAATTAATTATTGAAGCCACTACCTAATTTCCCCTTGGAGTACGTATATATATATACCATATAAAACATATGGTATTTCCCCTCAATCTTAATAAACAAACGACCGACAAATATAAGCTAATGAATACTTGTCCCTTTATTTTGAATACTGTTAAATTCAAACAGTAGTGATAAAAGCTGAGTAGTAAGCTAATAGTCAAAGATGTTGGCGAATTGAAAGAAAAGTAAACAGTAGAACTAAACAGATAATGACCGTCATAAATGAAATTGAAATTATGTAGCAGTTACTCATGCTAATAAATGAGTATTTCACTATGAGTATTTACACTTTGTGATCTTTGCTTAGAGTTGATAGCCACAGAATTATAATGATTATTACATGTTAAGTAGATTTTTACAATGAATAAATTATTTCTCTATTAAAACAATCATAAATATCATTAAATTAATTCACTTACTTTTGTGCCATCTGTTTTAATAAACTTTGACTGTTGATAATCTTTTGTCATTTTCGACACAGCAATACCATTTAATTCCCATGTTTGTACAACGTGAGTAAACTGATAAGGATCGGTATCAATAGCACAATCGAATGTATGTGAAATAGTGTTCAAACAGTTGATAGTACATGAGTAATCCTTTGGAACTTTCAAGAGGTTTAATCGGGCTAAAATAACATGATAAACAAAGTAAAGCTTATTTGAAACAAAATTTGTCCCATAAGTCTTCAGTCACTTTTCACTTTAAATTATTGTAATTCATGATCCTATTAGATTTTATGAAATTATACTTTGAAGAAATACAGAAATACTGAAATTAACAGATGTGCAGAGAACTAAAGTGAAAACCTTAATCGCTACATCTTAAACTATGAAGTTGTAATAACTTTAAAATTTACTCCAGGGATTTCAGTTTCAGTAACTGAAAATTTTTTTAACAATAATGTAAATCAAAGTATAGTAGCTACTAATAGTCAGCTAATTTTATTCAGGTATGCTTACACCTGAATTGTATCACAGAGCTGATTTGTTTGTTAGTTCTATGAAGCAGACAGACAGATACAACGCAGAACTTCGTACATAAGTACATCAGTTCAGGTTGCCATACCACATCAGCACAGAGACGCAACTCTCAGTTCAAATCCAAGAGTGATAGTGATAGTAGAAGTATTAGCAGTAATGGAGAAGATTATGGAGCGAAGATATGATTCGAGAAGTATAATTCAGTAAGATAAATTTAGAAGGAAAAAGGTAGAGAATATGAGGAATTCAGAAGATTAGAATTAGAGGGAACACAAAGAGTGGATGCACCTGCGCCATTGCAAACGATTCTGAGCCATGTCGTTCAAAGTCCTATGAAGCAATGATGAATTAGTAAATTTTTAAGTTGTGGATGACATTATATATATATATATATATATATATATATATATATATATATATTCTTAAAAACAATAATGAAAATATATCAACAATATCTATATCTTACGAAGTACTCTGACAAGAGTAGATACACGAGCTAGGCCATATTCATTTTTTCCGACCAAACTGACAGTATGAGTTGGTCCAATTTTACTACCAGGAGTAAATAGTAGATTGTAGGCTGAATAAGTTAAAATGTGACCATTCTTTTGCAATGGTTGTATCAAAGCATCTTTTAAGTACGGATATTGATCCCTTAGTTCAGTACGAAAATTAGCCGGGTTCGGTTGATAAGGTAGACCATTGATTTCTAAAGACTGGAAATCAAAAACAATCGTAACGAAAATAAATTTAGCAATTGAGGATTATTTATATACAGAAACTTTATCAGTGGCAATCAGTTTTCTAGCTATGTATTAAAAACTTTTACAATGAAGAAGAAAACCACATTCGGTCGTAAAGGAAATTCGTAATTAAGGCTGAAAACTATCGGGAAACCTAGTAAGAAAAATACAATTAACAAATTCAATATTTTGACTACAAGGTATACTTATTAACTAAGAGTTAATGCTAATATCACCTGATTATGAGAAAACTCTAATTTTAATTTTCCAATTAGCTATGAGTTGAATGACCGTAATACTAGTTATCGACAGCTACAATACACAGTTAATTTTTAAACAAAGTTATAACTATGACATGATTGCAGTTAACTCAATGAAAATTTTCACGCCACGTTCGAAAATATTGTTTTAATCCGTAAGATCAGCATAAAATACAATAGACACATAAATGTTAACACCATGAAAATAATTCCATAGTTCAAACCTAAAGTATAAATCACTCTAAATAGGAGATTAGGCATTGTCAGAAGTAAATTACCTCCGTTATAAACGAATCCAATTGACAACTGAATGTAACATTTTCTCCTTCCATCACTAAAAGTAAGGGTGGAGGAGCACGTATCACTTCAGGTGGACCAACCACACTCACTAAGAACTGAAAATTAACTTGGTCATATCCATTTTCCACAAGTAAATTGTAAGTCCCTTAAAAAAACAAGCAAAAAAAAATACTAAGACTATTTTACATCAGTTTCTACAAAGATAATCGGTAGCGTTCAATTTTAATTCAAACAAAAATCAAATGCATGGCTTTGAACATGCTTACTACATCGATAGAAGAAAACAGACGTAAAGAAGTTAGCTTTTCTAAAATGAGACTGGAGGAATAAATGACAAACAATTATGCGAGTCTACTCTCATATATCGACAGTTAATATCTGATTGTCTTTCGTATGAGTATACATTTAGTGAATGAAATAGAAACAGATACATATATATACAGGGGTGAATGTAAGATTAGAACGAAACAATAAGTAAGCAGAAAAATTACGTAACTGTCTAAACAAAATCTATTAGTGAATTTATAAAAATCTGGTTATTGAGAAAGCTAAGTAAATTATAAACGATCATTAGTAAATTTAAACAGCTAGAAAAAAAACGGAAACTATGGTATGATAATTTAGATAATAAACGAAGTTGAAATAACGTAATGAACTTGTTCCGAAATCCTAGTCACTGAACATGTTGATCAACAGAAGTCATTGTCTTACAAAATATAGACAATATAAAGGGCTTCTGAATGTGATATCAATGCAACATAATCAATCAAAAGCCAAGGAGTCATCCCTATGAAAGAAGTATTATGTCCAGTGGATATAAAAACTGACTAAAGCTTTCCAAATATGCTATCATCAACTACAAAATGGAACATGAAAGTAAGTACAAAAACTTGAATTATCTCTGCAAGAGTAAAAAAATTTTGTAATAAGCCAATAGAGTAGAACTGATAAAGGTAAGACCATATGAAGAAACTAAAAAACTAACTAATAAAACAACTCGATTAAGTAATTCCTCTTAAAACAACAGTATAGCCTAGTTTTATTCTTAATGTATTTACTAGTTTTGGACAACTAATACATAAACAAACGAATAAACTGCATATAATAAACAAGTACAATTTACAACAAAACGTAAGCCATGAAACATACCAGAATGATCTCGACGAATGTGATCAGGAAACTTGAGTAGATAATCACTATGTCCTGGAAAATCTGGTGGAATTCTTTTGCCGTCTTTGGTCCATTTGACGGTAGTATGCTCTGGATTAGATCGATACTTACTCACTAGCTTAAGACCAGTTCGCTGCAATTTCAAGAAACCAAAAGGTTTAAAATAGGAATTTTATTAGACCGGTGGCAATATATAACAGAGGTTTTCAGTGATGTAAAGAAAAGTATTGATTTAAAACTCCATTTTATAGACCTTTATACAATATAGACGTCCGTGTCACTAGTAAAAACGATTTATATGGAATTCATTAGAAGACCAGTGACTTGCAAGAGTTTTGTACTATAACTAACGACTTATAAGTATGTTTACTTCCTATATACATTTCTAAAATAGCTGATACGACGCTTATGAATCAAAGTTAACAATTAGGTTATAATTAATCGTAGAGTGAATGACTTATAAACTGATTTCCTCCGATCACTAATTATATTATGGATATAAAACTGTCATCACATCATCATTTTGAGACTTAAATCAATAGTTCGCCTACCTTAGGAGCAATCACCCTGCCACACTTACCATCGCATATCACCAATCGATTAGCATTCTACTCATTTACTCTAACAATCGATAATTCTTCACCAAATGATCGAAATTCTACTCTATAAAAGTATCGGATTACTAAATGATGCGGTTCGCTATCATTTTTAGGGCATTACGATAGATCATAGAAAATATGAATGCTACACAAACTTATACGCGGTAGATCATTGTTTGCTACTTTCGTAGAGAACGGTACACATAATTTTATCCGTTCTATTTGCAATGAATATTCAACGAATTGGTTACTTTTTATTATTTTGGTTCCATTTATTTGCTAGTGTTTTTACTACAATTACCCAAAACACAGTACTTTTCTATTTTGACTTTCAACCAATTTGTTTATATGTTGCGAGGCGTTAGTCAATAAGTCGCAACATAGAACTTTGTGCGCACACACATCAGTTCAAGTTGCCATACCATATTAGCACAGAGATGCAACTGTCAATTAGAATCCTATAGTGGTAGGTGTAGTAGAAGTGTTAGCAGGAATGGAGAAGATTAGGGTTCGAAGATATGATTCGAGAAGTATAATCCAGTGAAATAAATTTGAGCGAAAGATAAAGGTCATGAAGAATTAAGAAGATTAGAAATTGAGGGAAAACAAAGAATGGATGCACCTGCGGCACTGCAAACGACTTTGAGCCATTTCATTTAAAGTCTATAACCACCGGTTACTATTGTCTCGCGAACCTCAAACACGCAGTCTACACCTAATAACATGGCTCAATTCACTTGTCAGTGACTTGATGGATTTCTGCTATTGCTTTTATGGCCGCTAGCAACTTATATCGATAAACCAGTACGACAAACCTTAATTGCATATGGTCTGTTGTCTGTCTAGTTCTGGTAATGATTTCTCACTTTGATCAAATATCATATTATAAATTTGATATTTGCCTCATGAAGTAAAGAAAACTGTTTTAAGCACTGATTTTAAGGTTGTTTATTGAAATAAAGTTCGATGTAAGAGAAGTTAATTCGTATTACACATCCCAGCTATTGCAACCGCAACAACTATTGTAAATTTTCAATGAAAAAGGTTACAGACAGCCTAAGTGTCACACGAATATGAAATAACAAACACAGACTCAAATTGGTGAATTATTTTTCAATTTTCAGAGCGAATAATAATCAGTTATTCTGTCAAAATACGTTATTTGAAATGTCTTTGACTACAGTGTTGAACTATGCTGGTTTACACTTCAGGAAGATTTTGAAGTATTCAAAATCCGCTTAGATAAATTGTGACAAGAAAAACAACGTCCAGGTCATCTCATATAGATAGTTACATAAAGTGAACCATGATGAAGAGGGTTCATATTGCTTTCTCAGATAAACACATTTCAACTAACATTAAAAGGTAGGTTATCATTTTACCTACATGTTTAGCTAATGACTAATATCTCATGGTATGTTAGAGTGAACTATGTTTGTGTAACATCAAGATTGTTTAAATTGGTTTTCAGTTAGAGTCACAATTATAAAACGATGAATAGAACTCTGAACAAGGACATCAGAGTGTAAAATTACCTGTCTTTTAGGTAAATATACAAATTAGTAAGTATAAAAATGCATGCTCTGTACTCACTGGTCCAATTCGAACAGTAATTCTTTGTGTAAGCGGTGATAATACAGTAATTCCACTACCTACGAATGGTATACTCGAATCATAAGTCAACAACTTGGGTCGTTCGTATGAACCACCGAAATAGGTAGAATAAACAGCTGAGGAATCCAAGTGGCTCCAGCATACCAAACCCATATCTTTCCATGCTGACGTTGTGCGTTTGTATAATACCAGAGTACCTGAGGAAGAAGGAAAGACAATCGATCTTGAATGGTTGATATGGAAATAGAAGCTAATTGGTTAATTTATATGTAAGAACGTATATAAGAGAGATTATGATGTCTCTTTTTTGATTACTACATAAATAAATATGGGTAAATCATAAAATATTGCCGGATGAGTGCTACTTATCTAATAGAATATGACTAGTTCAGTTGATACAGTATGTCGATGTACTCTTTAGAGACTAAGTTAATATTGATTCTTAGACGGAACGAAAATTCTTTGGTTGGTTAGTTTTTTTGTCTGAGACTTTGGCAATGCCGTATATTGTGTTAAGCATTTTGGCATAATAAATTCATAAATAAATTGACCTTAGTAAATATCCGTTTGTTTACAATTTTCTAGTCACTAAGAAAGAAAATAACTTGTTTTACAATAATAGCCGGTAAATTAAGTAAAATAGAATAAAACTTACCATTTGGAGATACATAGCTTTCAAAATAATTTGTAACATGAATGGATGTCTGACGAACTCTACGCATGCAACCAGCGGACTGTATACCATCAGGGCTGTCTACATCACAAAACGACCACATAAACGGACTAGGGAATGTTGCATCAGCCCAACTCGGCAACTCCTCAGATCCCTGAGTTTGTCCGCATTCCAGACTCAAAGGAAGATCATTGATCGATAAAGCAGGTAAATACTCAGTTTGCTTTACAGGTCGTCTAACCATACCTATAAATATGGCAGAAATTGTAAGCCAAGAAATGACAACTTTTCGATAGTAAAAAAATAAAACATGAACATCTGATGAAAGCTGTGCAGTGGTTTACACTAACCATATTTACTGAAATGTTTTTCTCTGCACTGTTCCGCATTGTTCCACTCATTTGGTCTTGCAGTGGATTTCTGTGCCGTTCATTCTTTGATTTAGTTTTATTAAAGGTCAGTTATTAGTTTAAAGAAATGTTGAAAGTTACCTATCATCTGCTTAACCCATCTCTTATTTTTTTGTCAACACACCACAAATATGTAGACTTGTTGCCAGTCTACATTTGAGTTGTTCGTTTTTTTGGGAATCTTTTGGTACAAGTTTTCGGACCACGAGACCCTTATGAACTGCTCCAATATTTTGATAAGGGTTGATGTATACTTTGGATGAAAACAATTGTAATGCTTCACCAAGTATTTGGCCTAAATACGTATACAACATCCCTAATTCCAATCTTAGTTTGTACGTATTTTTGTATACACCAATTCAGAGATGGACACGTGCTCACACTACAGCACCGAAATGTGATTGGTGTTATTAATATTAGACTAACTTACTAGATGTTATGTGTCTATAAATTCTGGAACTTCGGTACTAATGCTAGTGTTCACAAAACCAGATAAGAGACTGAAGATCGCATTTTTGAACAAAATCACAACGGAGTTTGGCTGTAGCAATAACTTCTTATCTTTTCTGTGAATCTCCTACACAACTGCTCTATACCAGGTTTGGAAGATTTAAGCATTATAATCCAGGGGCTGATTTCATAATTAAATAAAGTCTAAGGACGCTAGTGAAAATATTACTGATTATACCTGGCGATTGAGTAGCTTGTCTTTCGCTGGGCTTTAAGGTTATTTTGTACTTGTCCCTCAGTAACACCCTTTTTGAATTGTATTCTCATAAACTCTACTGTTATTTTCATTGTTACGCTATTTATTTTGTCAATATCGTTTCGACTTACTGATGTAGCACAGCAACTTCAGCTGAAGCATGTTTGTGTCAGGGTTATGACTAATGCGAAAACTGTTCACTATCATAAACATAATTTCCTTGCTAGTTTCCCAGGTCTGTCAAGAGGGTTGCTATTATTTGGACTAGTATTTATCGCATTTTATGTACTATGACTAGCTATCTGATATTCGAATTATTATGAGGAAGAATAAGGTATCACATAAAATTTGTGGGACGGGACTCACGTTTGTGATAGTAATATGCATCTTGTACTTCAATAAAATTTGAAATCAACTCTCCATTTCGGTTATGATACTTGCAGAAGTAAAAGCCGTCAAGTAGCTCATCTTTAACAGGTAACCTAGAAGAAAATGTGTAGCCTGTAACAAATAAGTAAAACCAAATAAATAAATACCTGAGGATCTATTGCCATCAGCGCTGAACTCAACCCGGCCAAAAATAACATTTCTGATTTTAGGGTCAATGCATTCATCTGAATCATGGGTAGACTTCTGAAATAATGTACAAAATAAATGGTTTGTTAATATAAATCAAAGCTAAATAAATATGTACAGGTTAGAACGTCTTTCCAAATAAAAGATACCAATGGTCAGATAATAGCATCATTTCAATGCATTGAACGTTCGATAGTCATACTCAAAAAGGAAACATGCAGAGGGAACTACGAAGTATTTGTGGTTTCGTAGTATCCTGGCAGTAAGTAAGCTGTCAAGAAGAATTAATATTCTTATCGGTATCAAAAAATGGTCAGTGGTATATCGAAAATTGTCGATTAAATCTTTAAATTACTTGAAGCGACTGACACCAAATAAACTGACTCGTCAAATTAACCGTGTACCAAAACTAATTCAAAATAACATACAAATAAAAAAAAGTCCGACATAGTCCTTTATGCTTTTCCTTTATGTTTTACTTAAGTTTCGATTGCACTCGCAAAAACTAGTGTCATGACCACTCAGTGTAAGGTAAACGTATATTTTACTGTCAAACGACCGCGGAGATCTCTTTTTTATCCATCAAGTAAAATGAATGAATCATTATACCATGACTAAAAGCACGGATTTCATAAAGCCTACATTATTGCTGATAGACAGACAGGACAGATAGATACAACTCAGAACTTCGTACATAAGTACATCAGTTCAGGTTGTCATACCACATCAGCACAAAGATGCAACTGTCAGTTCAAATCCAATAGTGGTGGCGATAGTAGAAGTATTAGCAGTAATGGAGATTAGGGAGCGAAGATATGATTCAGTGAGATAAATTGAGCAATTGAAAGATAGAGATGAAGAATTCAAGTCAGAATTAGAGAGAACACAAAGAGTGGATGCACTTGCGCCACTGCAAACGATTTTGAGCCATGTCGTTCAAGGTCTCTCACTCTAACTGTTGTCTTATAGTCTGTTCATTAATCAGTTAGTGATTCAGTGTAGCGTTCCAAGAATGTAACATTCGGTTAATAGCTAGTACATAGAATATAAATCAAATAATTTTTTGTGCTCGATTTTTGTTCCTTCAATACGATTCCACGTGTTTGGTAGTCTGTTGGGTGAGAGTTATGAAGGCCTGAACGTCTTGTAGACGTGCCATAAATCATCCCCTCAGTATATATAATTTTACAGTGAAAGAGTACACTATGGATAACGAGCGAGTATACAGTTGAAAATCATTTCGAGGAGCCGTTCCGTTTAAATCGAAATGTTAACATACACCGGCAAGGAAATAGGAATCCTCACAAATATGTATCCCAGTAACGAATCTAGACGAACATGAGGAAGTAAGCGCCAGTAAAATTTACAACACATTATTTTACAGTACAAATTAGATAATTACCCTGCGACACAGATAGGCGGAAACAAGTTCATGAGCTGAATCTAGTGGAGCAACAATACAATGAATCCTTAATACAGGAAGCTCATTCAGGTGTTCGACAATTCTGATGCGAACCTGCTGCTGAACAGTGGCATCTATTTCGATAGGATTTCGGAGACCAGGATGTTCATAGAAATAAGTGTCATGTCTAACTCCACTAACAGGGATGAACTGTAAGTATTGTTCTTTGGTAGATAACCCTAGAAGAATTTTTTTAAAGAAATAGTTTTCCACTTACCATATGGTATTTTAAAGACAAACAAAACTGACCAAAACAAGAGCAACATATTAGAGACGTAGAGGCACAAGGCCTTTTATAAGAGCTTTGGATAGCCGCCACAGATGAAGGTTGAATTTCAGTACTGGACCAATTTCCAATATCTTGCACACAAGCTAGTATAAACTAATTGCTCGTTTTGGGCTCGATTTTTGTTCTTTTGTTACGGTTCCAGGTGCCTGGAAGTATCCAAATGATGGGGGTCTAAACAATCGACTGCTTAATTCTAGTCAGTTGTCAGATGTTTGTATGTCACGTGAATTCTTAGCATACTGTGAGGGGACAGAAGGGAGCGGACTTCCGTTGAGGGTGTAAATCGGAAGCGTCATATTGGGTAGAATGTAAATGACGTGAAATTTATACTTACTTAGTTTCGGATCGTTTTTCACTAGCCACTTCTCAATATAAGTAAGGTCCCATTGTAGCTCAGTCGAATCCTCTTCGTCTGTAATGAACCGCAAGAACACTTCATCGTCTGCGTAAGTTAGTGTCGCCGACCTAACTTTGTCCAACTGATTGGTAATAAATATCAGGAGGAGAAGTGCAACTAATATGATGACCTACGCAGCAAACAATTTTAAAATTTCCAACACAATATTAACAGTAAAAGTCAATGATTTTCTGTTGATCTTGTACATTTTCCGAACATATCTCGTAGATGGTATCTTAATGAATGCTCATCTATTGACAGACAATTTCCATGAGTGGATTTTATTGATCTATCAAAACAGCAGACCGGTGAGTCTAAAGGAATGAAATTTTATGCGAACAGGCCTTTAGAATGCTTTCTGGATCTTTTGGCTTACTGAACCGTTAGATATTGTTTACAGAAGACAATCAGTGGTACAGTTTTCATACTTTTCTAACGAATGCATCTAGGTCGGAAGCATTCATAAGCCGCAGAGTTACAACTGTTTTCAAACTGAAACTCACGCTCTTCATTCAAAGACTCAACTACCTCTAAATTGTGGTTTTAAATCACAGCTAAAGAGACTAGCCCTACTTCAAAATACACCATCAGTCGGAACACGTTTGTGAGCTGTTCTCCATGCGAAATTTGTTGTGCAATCCAACATAAGAATTCTGTATGATGCTGAATATTTTCTCAGGCGCCTGGGAGTTTCCAAAGTGTCGTCCTGTAAACACTATCGGACATTGTCTCATAGTCAATGAGGTTGATGTAGAGTGATGAGTTCCTTCCAACTGACTGTTCCACAGTGATCCGTGATACTGCAACTAGGTCAGTACACGACTGATTTTTACGAAATCTAGTCTGTTGATCTCAAAGTTGGGCGTCTGTGAAGTCCTTGATTATGTTTAACAATATCCTGTAGAAAATTTGCCTGGTATTGAGAATGGCTATGCCTATGTAGTTCTCACACTTGCTGAGATCTCCTTTCTTTGGTATTTTGATGAGGTATCCTTCTTTCCAGTCCGTTGGTACTTGTTCTATGTCCCGAATAGTTTTGATAAGAGTGTGAAGTATTTTCGCAGTTGCTGCCACGTCTGCTTTCATTGCCTCTGCTGGAATGTGGTCTGGTCACGTTGCTTTGCCGCTCCTGATTTGTCTGATGGCAATACTGATCTCTTCAATTGTTGTTGGGTCTACCTTAATTAGGAGGACCGTTGGTGCTGCTTTAATGTCATTAGAGCTCACTGGGGCTGGTCGATTCAAGAGTTTATCAAAGTACTGTACCCATCTGTCACGCTGTTCTTTTATGTTGGTTATCATTTTACCTTCCTCGGCTTTTATTAGTCATTCTAGTTAACGATAATTTCCGGCGAGCTTCTTTGTTGCATCTAAGAGTTGTCTCAAGTTTCATTCTCTTACAGTTTATTCCACCATCATTTCTAGTTTTTTTTTACACGTATTTGAGTTTGTCGGCTCTGATGCCCCCCTTTAATTGCTTGTTTGCTTCTGTGTATTCAGTGTGTGACTAATCTTTCTCTGCTCTTCATCAGCTGATGTTGATTGCTGCCACCTGTTCCTCTTTTCTAGGATTTTATCCAGTGTATCAGAAATGATCAATTACCTGTGATGGTGCTTCATGTGGCCCGAAAGCTGTTGATGTAGTAAAGTTGTTATATCTTCAATACCTCACCGATTGTTCTCCATGGTAGTTTCCTCCCTATTCAGGATATCATATAAAGCCTAGAACTTTGTGCTGAGGGCTATCTTGGATTCGTTGAGTCTCTCGGTATCACAAGTATGTTCAAGACTTTTGTGATGCTGTTCGACCTGTTTTCAAGTGGTTCTTGAGTATCAGTTTCTTCTTTGTGATCAGAGAGTGCGGATCTAAGGCGATATCAGACGCTCTATCGGTTCTCACATCCTCTCTGTTCTTTCTGAAATTTTTATAGATGTATATGTGATGGCTTTGGTTCTGTGTGGTGTGATCCGGTCAAATCCATGTGGCTTGGTTTATTCGTATTTGTGGGAATATGCTGCCACCGATGACCAGTTTGTCGATAGCACATAGATTTGCGAATCACTCACCGTTCTCGTTCCTTTCTGCCAGTCTATGTCGTCCATTGATGTCTTCATATCCGGTGTTGTCCATTTCAACCTTGGCGTTTAGATCTTCCATCACAATGAGCACTTTCTTTGTTGGACGTTACTTGATGATTGACTGAAGCATCTGGTAAGATGATTCTCAACATCCTCATTGCCGTCGTTGGTAGGTACAGAGCATTCCCTATTATTAGCATCAAGAAAATTCCGCAAGACGCCGTAGTCCTATACATCTTTACCTAATCGGACAGCACGGATGAGAAGAGCTTAGGAACCGAAATCTCAAAGTTTATCGATACTTCTCTTGAGGGGTCAGATATTCATCACAAGTTAAGAGTGTCTACGACAAATAATCGACAACTAGGTTTGAACACGACCTATGTTATAATATGTTTCTACTTATAAACCTAATCCCGGAAACAGCGACAGGAATAACAAGTTGATTTTGAGAGGATGCAGACAAGTCACCTCCTAAAAGTTATTTTGCTTCCTCCGAGGAAAGAGTCACAATATTGTGTGATACGCTGTTGCTGACTGTATCCGGAATGTATGTTCATTCTGACTTCATCTCGGTTAATCGTACCAGGAGACGAAATGCTGAATTAGAAATAACTGAGCACCACTGCATCAGAACAAAATTGATGCTTATTGGTTTGATATTATATGGGCTGGGAAAAACGATTTCTAAACCACTGAATAGTACAGCGAATCGTTTCAGAGATTTAAAGGTATTTAATTTAGGAAAAGGGGCAGAAAACATGAAGAACACAGAAGAACCTGACACGGCTGCCATTTCAGTGACATAACTAACGCCAGAATTGTATGATATCCAATACATCAAGTAGTAGACAACCGTTAAGACATGAAAAATGAGACCTAGAAAATATTTGCACTGAAATTATTAAAAGTGTCAGATAAGCTTGTTTCACAAGTGAAATGTTTGATTTGCCAAGTGCGAACCTATCGACAAGTTTTATCTGAACTTTTAGTATAAATACAACTCATAAATTCTTTTTCGAATGGTCATCGTCAACAAAGTATTTGTGTGTTCAGTATTTTATCAACAATTTTCGGAAAACTTCCAGATTAAAGGAAATATTCTTTCCGAGACGATCTGTTTTAAGTGAATCAATTGTCGACCTTCAAATAATTACAATTTTCGGTCGACCATCTCTTATTAACAGGTTTGTATATTGTGCTCGAAATCCTTTTCCACATAACAGGCAGAAATTTTTCTATTCTTCCTCAGTTCACATATAACATTTTGCCGCTCTTTTTTGTCATATTTTCTATCAATTTACACAATTAACATTATCTATATTCTGATGTAAGAATTATATTTGCATTAGGTAAAAGATGGTAAAAATATATTTCTCTGTCTCTGCATTCTTCAACCAATCAACACTATTAGCATCGTTGATCATATTTTTTAATTTCACTATTTTAAATCATTTCCTTACGTGATATACTCTGAAACATGTGTAACACCTAATTTTTCATTGTTCATTTGGTTGGGTGCATCACGATAATCACTATGCCTATATTTTTATGACCATTGGATCTTACCTCTCTATTATTTTTGTCTTCATATACCAGGATTAATAAGATACTCATGGATAATAGTTAATGAGGATTTGGAGGGTTACATTTTTTATAATATTGCTCATCAGGTTAATGATCAGTTTCTAAATCTTAATTTTGGTCAATGGATTTTCCATAATTGAATTTGTAACCTCATCGAAAAATATGGACATCATAGGTAACCACAATAAGTCCAAGGAATAGACTGTTGAACTTCTCAAACTGGCATTTGATCTTCATGGGCAGTTGGCAACGTTGGGCGTTATTATTCACATTATCAGCTGTCTTGGCATTATTTATTGCCAACACAATATTCCTCTGTCTTATTAGTCCATATAGTCTTGAATTCTATGTCAAAAATAGCACTGGGAAGGCGTCCGTTCATGTTCAAAACGTTCCTACTGGAAACAAGTGGCTGAACTTTTTATATAATAAAACTCATGTAAACTCCCAACACGATGTAAGTATCAAAGATGTGTGCAGTATGGACAATTGCTTCGATTACACGCTTTGTCAATCTGAATTCAAGGTGAGTAGAAGCACAGTATATGGTTTTTATAATCATACGTTCGTATGATCTAACGTTATTTCATTAGTACATAACTTTTTTTCAGCTAAACAATATAGTGTTCGTTAGTTTAAATTCATCTAAGGAGTTAAAAATTGCTTATTATAAGGCCTCTGCATAGTACTAATGTCCAACATAATCTTATGCTGATACCGCTCAATTAAATCGATTAAGTTAAAGTGTACTTTCATATTTCGGCAAGTAATCCTATTCCTATCAGTGTTCGGATATTTTTAAACTTTCAAGCCTGGGGTTTGTTCTAGTCGTTATTTACTGATTTTCATAAGTATAAACGTTGCACACTAATAACCAAAAAAGTTGATAACACAACGTAGTATGATATTTTAAATAAATAAAGCATTAAACAAACCTAACAGTTAATAGATGAAACACATTGACATGAGATACACTCGGAATGATTTTCGCTGTTATCTTTTGATTTTAATTAAAAAAGTATCGGGACTTCTATTGTTTTTGATTCTGATCAATATGTCAGTCTCATGTCGCTTTGTCGCATATTATATGGAATTCCATACACAGAATCTTAATAAGTAGACAAATACAAATTCAAAACAAATATCATTCATACCACTATACTGTCCATTCAGCCTCCTTTATTATTATTCCTAATAAGGTAAGTTGAATGAAATAAGTCAGTGTCTTAAGATGATCTCATCATCAAAAGCTACAGCACTACTCCGGAATACGCAACATAAAATTGAAATCACGTGTATAGTGCTTTGAACATGCGAAAATTGCCGCACAGAGACGGCAATGACAAAAAACCCGTCGGCTCCAAGAGGTTAGGTTTCATAGTCAGTGCTAAAGTAAAACAGCATCCATTGAAGTGTAAAATTCCGGCTTCTACAAACAGGCCATTACTGTGACGACACAAGAACTATTTTAGGTCTAGACATGTCAATATCATATTATTATCAGTCAAGATGTGTTAGTGGGACATAGATGGAATTAAAGCATGACTGCGTCAGCTGCGCGCTGATTGGCTAATTTCCTATTCAATCAGCGCCTGATCGATTCTTGGAGAACAGGGTAGAAAATTCTCGTACTGTTAGCTGCGTGCTGATTGGTTAAATCTAATCCAGTTGATCACGTGAATTTCTATCCAGAAGCTTCTCATGTAAATGCTATAAATGAACTAACGTTGTATCTATTTTTGCCTTCGCCTTCGCCATCACCTTTGGCTTCTTATTTCCATTTATGTCCCATTAACAAGATGATTCTGCATATGACATCATTGTATCTATTTGTGTTGGTGGGTATAAAAATACGTAATTTGTGATTTCAACTAGTGGACTTAGAATTTGCATGTGTATGCGTTTGTATAGATTGTGTGAAAAATGAATAGATTCAAACGTAATTGCTTGGAACAAATCCAGGCTAGATGAATAGTCAAGCTTTCTTTCTTACAAGGTGCAGAGAAATTTAGCACTATATGAAAGGCTTCAGCTTCTCATTTCTATTGTTGAGAAAACCTTTCTGAATTATCTCTGTATTTTCAATACCGACTTGGTGGTGACATAAATTAGTATGTACTGCTATTAACGAGTTAATTTTTCAAATTTTTAAGCCCTACAAGGTCACTAGCTCTTTTTATATACAAGTCGAGATTTCACAAAACACTTCCAAACGTAAAACGCATCACAATCTAAACAACGCAATTTTTCACTCATTTAAAGGGAGTTACATCCGTAATTCTTGCCAAAGCGTTCCATAATGTTGTTTTTTATAAAGAGCTTTAATTCAGAATGTTTCTAGGACCCGTTGTAATTCTTTTGTCGTACCTTGGCGATAAGATATAACCAACACAAGATATTTCATCAGAATCGTTATTTGTAGATGGACAGTTTCGTTTTAACGTTTTTGATGATATTCTTAGGCGAACCATCAAGTCGTAAGATTTTTATTGTATCATCCTTTTCTTTTACCTTGTCTTCTGAAGTGATGATCTTAGTAGCCTTCCTGAATAGATTAAAGACCAGGGGAAATTTTCATTGGATACATATACTGAATTAAAATCACTGCCGATTTGAGTAAATCGGTTTTCCGTCTATACTTAGATTAAGATTTCCGTTCGAAAGGTAGCTCATCATGTTAAAGTGGCTTCAATATACTGTGTAGATATTTAGATAAAGCACATATGGGGTTGTTTTTGAAGCAATATCAAACATGTGGATTTCGGGTAACTCACAGAAACGTGATATGGTGCTGAATTTGGAATATAAAGTAAAGCGTAATGAATAGGTCCTATCTCTTTAAAAAGTTCACTTGTTTCTGATTGAACCTTATTTTTAAACATTGAAGGATTTTTTGATTACATCTTTAGATACGGTCTCATGTGTCGATGTTAAAGGTCTTCTTCTTTGCAGTTGCTTTTGTTCTTGATCACTGCTGTATTAACTTCGCCAGTCTTGGTAGGGAAAAAAGCACTTAGAGGGGGAGAAATACATTTCAAATATGCTTAAATTATTGCTAATGGTAGTCAAAAGCTGCTTCTTCTTACCATTTTCATTCAACTTATCAATAGTCCAAATATAAAAGCATCTAAGTTACTTTAAACGACTCATTGCTCAATCTGAAAGCGTTCTAATTAGGAAAACTAAATGGTATACTTAGTGATGTTGATTGCCAACTGATTAATTGCACTTGTAGTAGCTTTCTCATTGCTGCACAGTATTAAGAGTCTTAGGAATAATTGGCCTAGATCATTACTAGATACTTCGAAGCTGTTTCCAAAATGTTGTTCATTGGAGAAGTAATGGGTAGTCATGAGAATGGGCAACTGTTTTGAACAGTTGAGTCCGGTTGGTTGCACTTTCTTATGATACTTGAGATAATATAGAATAAAATACGGTCCTTCAAAGACTTGCAATACATCCCAACCTAGAAGACAGCTTCAGAGTTCACTTTTGTGCAACAAATTAAATCTAGGCCTGATATCCCAAAAAAAACGATGATAATTTTTCCATACTTGCTATGGCATTGGGGTATATTTTAGAAAGTCAAGACTGTTTCTCCATCCACTACTTGAACCATAATGTTTAAAAAAAACTTGGTTTGGGTATCGTCTCATATTGTTTTCATGGTACTCTTAGATTAAATAAAAGGAGAACATTCTTCATTACCGAGTTTTTAATGTCAAGCCCATAAACTTTTGATTAGAAAATTTTGTTTGGCTTATTACTACAACCCTTTTGCTCATTGTCTGTTGAGCGCATTCACAATTTGCTTTATTTAATCCTCATTCACTTGATTCAGTACTTACATAAAAAATTCATGTCATAGGTGTATGTATATCCTCCATCGTCAAAACAAACCAATCCATCTTTAACCTATCAAAAAATTCTCACCGCTTTGCATAACTCAAAACTTCTCACATCAGATCCGTATGAAGCTTGTATATTTATTCCTAGTTTGGATACCCTAGATCGAGATCCTTTAAGTCCACATTTTGGTCAGTATATAGCCCAGGAGCTCGTTAATTTACCATTTTGGAATTCGTTGCCTAGAAGAGATCCTGATAGTAAGTCTAATATTTTTAGAAGTTTGCAAGTATTTTTCCAACCTCGGTTAAATCTTTGTGTAAATTACTGAGCATGCCTCATAGAGCCATATTTTAAATAGTTCCTTAGTTTAATCATTTTAATGTCAAATTTAAAGCTGTAGTTTCGAAACGCAACTATGCTTAGTTCACTATAGTCATATCGATAGTATTTATAAGAGTACCTTGGAGCTAAACACATCAACTTGTGATGCTGTAGAAAATTTGTTGCTCATGTGAATGATTGTGGTGGAGTTTCGTTTTCTGAGCTCGGAAAAGATAAAATATGAGTTTTACAGAAACCTTTCTAACCTTCTTCAACACCTTAAGCGCTCTGATGTAGTAATAATGGCTGATGACTTCAATGCTCAAGTAGAGGTAGACCAAGTGAGAAAGACAGCAGAGTGAATCTTATGGTGTCGTGGCTCAAAAATTAGATAATGGCGACTGTCTGCTGCAACTTTGCTCAAATAGTCTCCTATTTCCAGCAAATACTAGCCTTAAGCCTAAGGAAAAACATCTCTTGACTTGGCGACCCTCAAAACTGACCCAACTAGACCACATTGCAATCAGCCATCGATGGAGAGGCCCATTGAAGACTTTCGCTCATTCTTGAGACCTTATTTAGATTCAGACCATCCTGTAGTGCAAGCGCGTATTTGTTTGCGGCTTACTGGACGTAAGAAAGACACCGCAAGGAAACCTCTTAGGGTTCTACTTAATTATAACACAGCTAAGAATATATTTCAGGAACAACTAGAAAAATAGTCAGGCAGCCATGTAAGTGATGCCTACCCCGAGGCAGCTTGGAACGATATCCAAAAATCTGTGGAAAAAGCAGTGATATATGCTAGTAAGGTAAGCCATAAGGTTAGGGAGAAACAGTGGATTTCAGTAGTATCTACCTAACTGATGGATGCTTGGAAACACATCGCATCTGGCTCTGAACACGACGAAGTGCGAAGTCAGTTTAAGCTCAGGTTGATAAACAGCCTATGCAAGGATCTTGAACAGGGATAGGTGGCGAAAACAAGGGAGATGGAAAACGCAGCAGCGATAGTCAATAGTAGGCAAATGTTCAAACTTACCAAGGAAACTGATATCAGAAATCTTACTGTAAGTGAAACTATCCCAGAGAAGGATGGCTGTATCATTCATTCTCAACCCAGGAGATCGGGTTGATGTGCAGAACACTTTAGGGATCAGTTCAACTTGCCTTCGGCCACCGACGATCTTCAGTCAACCTGAATGGCAAATCGGTGTAAATCCTCTGACTCTTTATGAAGTTGAGAGAGCTTTAGGAAATCTAGAGCGAGGGAAAGCAGCAGATTATGATAGGTTAACCCCTGAGATTTTTAATGATAGTGGTCCAGTTTTAGCTGTGAGATCGACTGAGATCTTAGGTAGAATCTGGGAACTGAGCGTAATTTCATTTGACTGGTGTCAATCCTTGATTGTCACAGTCTATAACAAGGGACAAAAGTCCTCTTGTGACAATCGCAGAGAAATCAATTTAACTAAAATAGTATCTAAAATATTGGCCTCAATAATAATCCGACGCCTGACGAAAGCCCATGAAGAGCAGGCTACAGAAACCCAGGCTGACGTCCGACCTAGACGTGGATTTATAGGTCAGATATTTACACTAGTCCTAGGACAAAGAAGTATTTCTTTACCTTAAGGCCGCACTTGACTCTGTCGATCTTGAGGTTCTGCAGCAGTGTCTGTAATTAAAAGATGTAACAGAGAAGTACACTAACCTTATACAAGCTCTCTACTCCAAAACTAATATTCAAGTGAGAGCTTATGGCTAGGTGTCATGAGAATTGATTGCTTCAAATGGTGTCCGTCAGGGTTGTCCACTCTCTATTCTTAACTTTATCATCGACGTGCTTCTAGGCATAAAATGTGTCTTTAGTCGGACAGCGCATAAGAGACTGTCTACCGAGATCCAGTCTAAGAAAGATAGTTCTGCCTTAAAACGTAATTTTACGCCTACAGCAGCGAGGATACGCGAAGCTGCAGAAAAGCTTCCAGATGAACGGAGTGTAAACCGAGTTGATTCTCTATCGAGTCAAGGTAAAATCAACCTAATGACCTTACTAGGATATGTATGCGCGTTTCGGAGATGCAGCACACATCGATGGCACGGGAGTCCAAAATCCTAGCTAAGGAAGCCTGTTGCTCTACTTAACATACGGTCCGAATAATAAAATTTACAAGATGTAGTTTTGAGCGGAGTTTCAGGAGACTAGGAATAACGTTTCGCGTACTCAAATCGTTTGCATTAGCCGCGCGACGTGATAATGTTTGGTCATGGAGGTAAGAGGATTATCGAAACGGATTGGGTTGGATTTGATTCTGACTAGTTTTGTCTCGTGTGCTGTTACGGGTATAAGGGCAGATGTTATCTCCCGGCTACCCACACCATGGAAGGGTATTTCTTGGCGAACCTGAAAAGGAAAGTAGATTAGCGTTGATCTTAGAGACCTAGGAGCGTGACAGCAGAGCCCAAGAGACAACTGCCTAAGGCTGGTCACTCATGGCCTTTTTATGGGAATTTTTCAACGTTGTAGCTCCGCTCTTCAAAAGGCCTCACCACCGGATGTGGAAATTCATCAGGTAAGGTGAGATGTGACATTTTTAGGGTCGACCTTTCTAACTCCTTCCTTCCTTGTGAAAAGGCAGCATCGCTGGAGATGCTGGATGTCTGAGGGAAACACCTTACTGCTATCATACCCCTCCAAAGTCAGCAGTACGACTTCGCCCTCAGACCTTGAGTTGCTGCGTTTAGTCTCACCGTTCTCCAACCGATGCACCTAGCGTAGTAGAACCTACAGGAACATATGCATCCCCCAATATAGTTTGGTTGGATCATCACGATAGGTAAGCCCGACCACCACATCAAGGTAGCAGCCACGGTCTGCTGCTTTTTCAGAGTGCATGCTTGGTTTATTAGTCATAGAAAACTAATGAGCAATTTCGCCCGTACCATAACAATGAATATTTCTAATTTTTTCTCGTATGTGCTACAGTATACCCACAAGTGGAGTCCTGAAACTGAAAGTAATAGTCACCAACGTATAAGTTTCGTCATAAAAAGCTACATATTTCTTTTTTCTTTTTTTTCTTCATATTTCTATAAAAGCTAATTCAATTCCAACTTCTAATCAACAGTTATCGAAATATGGTGGTCGTAATCATTTAATATTTAATTTACATGCGGGTACTTGGCCATATTATCATGAAGATGAATATCGTTTATGGCTTGGTCAAGCTATGTTAGCTAAAGCCAGTTTTTCTACCAAACATTTTCGTCCAAAATTCGATATTTCTTTACCACTTATTCATTCTCAACATCCTTTAAAATCAGGATCAATTCAATTGGATCACTTAGTAAGCAGCGAACATTTACGCGGTCGACTTGATTTACCATATCTTCTAAGTTTCAAGGTAGTCTATCTATTGTGTGTATATTCATAATTTTTATTGCAAACTGGTTTAAATTAAAGAAATACTGAAGACTATATGTCACTCAGTATTCGTTCTGGCTCATTTATTGCACTCTTTAATAGTATATACACAACCGTGCATGACATCAAATAAACAACATTTAGATTTTACATCAAAACCTAAATCATTAGGTTACAAAATCAGGTTCAAATTTAATCAATTCACTACATAGTTCGATTTATTGAATGTGAGTTACTACTTCTCTTCTGATTTGGTTGATAACCGCAAATCAAAGTTTCTCACTGTAACTTCAGGAAATTCATACTGAATATTCAAATTAATTTTCCTAATTCAACATAATTACTGATTAGTTATTTTGATTGAAGTACTTTTACTATACTATTTCACATTTCCTATTATGTATGTCAAACTCATAAGGCTTTATTCATCAAAAATAATAAAATCTAATTTATATTGTCATATTTAATCAACAGAAATTTCACAATTTTAGTGTCCTTGTAGGTGAGCTTACTTGAAATGTTTGGTTGTATTAATGATCGTAATATTTGACGAAGTGAATGGTACAAACTAACAATACTTGAATATTGTTTAAATCTGTTCAATCATGTACAATTCTCACAAACGATTAAACATATATTCTTCTGTTTTATTATAGGGTAAACGTTATGTGAGTGGGATTGGATCAGCGTCACGTGATATACTTTTTCATTTACACAATGGAAAAGATATCATTATGTTAACTACTTGTCGTCATGGTACAGATTGGATACGATATGCTGACAAGCGTTGTGCTACTGATATGGCTTTATATGATACGTGAGTTTTCTCTGCTTTGATATGTTTTCTCTCTTAAAAAGTTGTTGCTAATTTTGCATTTTTTTTAAAAAAATAAGACTTTTTCTTCTGATTGATATTCAAATTTCATGGGATTCATTTCTCTTTAAGTGCTGTAAACACTTCTGTCAATTTATATACAAATCAAATGTTTTCATTTGGAATAATTTACATTTGCACTTTGGTTGCCTAGTATCTTATGAAAATGATAAAAATCAAACTGGTTAAAAGATATTGACGAAATGAATTAGGTCGTTATAAGCGAATTACTGGCTTTATTGTTTCATAAATCTTAAAAATCCATTTTCTGAACAATGTAGTTGAAAATCGTTTGCAATGGTGCAGATGCATGCATTCGATATCTTCTTTCAAATGTTAATTTTCCAAGTTACTGATGATCGTTTTTTCTCTCTCTTTAAATTTATTTCTCTGAATTATACTTTTTAAACATTATCCCCGAACTCTAATCTTCTCCATTACCGCTAATACTTCTATCACGTGTACTATTATAGAATTTGAATTGACAATTCCAACTCTCTATGCTAATGTGATATGAAAACTTGAACTGATGTCCGTGCGTACGAAATTCTACGTTGTAGATGACTGGAATAGTCATTTTATTATTTCAACATTATTTACACTTTTTTATCTTTTCTACAAACAAAGATGATTGTTTAATATTGTTAGTCTTACTTTATGTTCCTCTTCTATATGTCGGCAACCTAACCTAAACAACAATTGCAATATTTCATTGTTAATCTTTTTTTTAATCAGATTCATTTTATCCATGCACCCATTTAATTATAATATACACTGGTATTAATTAAAGTATTTAGTACTAAACACTTTAATATTTCAGATTCATTTACAATCTGAATTGATGGTGGTTTTTTTTTCATACAGAAATAATAATCCACATACTTTGTTACTTTTACATCCTATATACTAGTTCATGTTTCAAATTTGATGACTTCATCCTTCGTAGTTATTTATACTGATTAATATGTGTGAATGAACTGATATATATATTTACTTTGATTATTTCTCTTTTAGATATGATTATTGGGAACTAATGCATAATTCAACATTTTGTCTTGTTCCTCGTGGTCGACGATTAGGCTCATACCGGTAAAAAGTTTGGTTACATTTAATCTGTAACATCTTTAAAAATTTTTTTTCCAATTAATATTTCCAGTTTCCATTTGTACTTTTGTCGAGAACTGTTCACAGAAACGCAGATAGAAATCTTATTTCTGTTTGTCAAAATCTCTATAATCAAGTTAGAAGACTGTCATGACTTCTAGAAATGTGGAGCATTGGTTTAGTGATTGGAATAATCATCTTCTAATCATTAAGTTATAAATTAAAATTCCACCACATTTATGTTAATTTGCTGGGCAGTTTCCTGGGATCACTAAGAAATACACAGTGAGCATAGTTCAAAATTGAATACATTAGCCTGCAGTTGATAAATTAATTACTGTTATACTCGTCAATTGATATGGTTGAAACTATTACGAGTTCACCTTAGTCGTTAAACGAGACAAATAATCTATTGATACGATAGGCTATTCTGATTCGATTGTCCTCGGCCCTGCTAACGATATCAAAAGTCTTGTTATGGCGTAGAAAGTACCCAGAAAATATGAGGTCGAGAAGCACACAAATCGAGTTCATTTATACATCATAGAAACGTCCTTGGGAGAACCACAAAAATAGCGTGCTAAAATAATACAGCAACCAATCACTGCTAAGGATTTTCTTGGTGGGAAATGTAATCTCAAGGCTAACTGATCAGCCCATGAATAAAATCCAAAATTAGGACCTTTATCAAGTGAGTTCTGGGGATCTAACGTCCCAAACAGTTACATAGCTTGTAGTGTATACATATATATACATATACTAGACTGAATAAATATGGTTCACATAAAGGTGATATTTAGCGTTATCAAATCAGCAATAAAAAAACTAACACTGAATACAGGCAAGAAAAAAATCATTCATTTAATATGATCAAAGAAAGAATAACTGCAATAACCATTTAGAGTAATTAATCAAGGAAATGCTTGCAAACAGATTGTTAAGTAGAGTACTAGTAATAGTACTGCGCAGCAGTTCGTTCCGTTCTCTTATATGGCTGTGAAACATGGCCGTTAAGAGTAGAAGATGTTCGTAGGTTACTAGTATTCGATCATAGATGTTTAAGAAGCATTGCTCGTATATCGTGGGACAGCCGTGTAAGCGATGCTGTCGTTAGGAAACGAGTTCTAGGTAAGCATGGCAGATCAATCGATGAAGTGGTGAAACTTTATCAGTTGTGTGTTACGTATGCCTAACCACCGACTGCCTCGACGAGCTATGTTTTGTGGTGTAGGAGTAGGTTGGAAGAAAGCTAGGGGCGGCCAGACCAAAACATGGCAGCAATCCATGAAGTCACTGACAAGTGGACTGAGTCATGTTGGTAGATGTAGACTACCTGGTTGGGGTCCGCGAGACGAAAGTCATCAATGGTTAGAGACCTTGAACGACATGGCTCAAAATCGTTTGCAATGGCGCAGGTGCATCCACTCTTTGAGCTCTCTCAAATCCTAATCTTCTGGATTCGTCAGCACCTCTACCTTTGTCTTCTAACCTTATCTCACTGAATTATATTTCTTGAATAATATCTCCGAACCATAGTCTTCTTTATTACCATTAATACCTCTACTATCTCTATTACTATTGGATTGGATTTGACATTTGCGTCTGTGTTAATGTGGTATGGCAACATGAACTTATGTACATACGTACGAAGTTCTACGTTGCAACTGACTGACTGACTGTACTAGTTACTTATGTGCGATATAATTAAATTACATTATTCTCATACAGTCTATTTACGCAGTGATACAACTGAATAGTTTCGTTAGCTGTATTCTAATTTCATTTCCCGTTTTAAGTTAAATGACTCAATCAATTATATAATAATATTGTTAAAATAAACAATTAAATACATTTAACCATGTTGAAAATGAGGGATATATCGTTAGTACTACCGGTCTCTGATTATGTGGGATATCACAAACTGAATCAAATAGTTGGTTATGTGGATCATTGCATTCTGATTGGAAGATAATGCAATCACCATAATATCTGAATATTATCAAAATCAATTCGTTTCGCGCTTGTACGTATATATATGTATTAATGAGAAGCCTCGAATTAGAATGATGAGATAGCTATTCAACGTTTCTAATCTCTCATTAGTTGGTTAGCTAAAGTGATTCTTCGATCTGAACTATATTTAATTTGAACTACTTTAAAAAAACTTACCCTAAAATTAAAGAATTATTAAGAGAAATTGTTTCTTCTGTTATAAGCTCCTATCCCCGAAAAGTTTTTCCTTTTTCGTACTATTCTAATAAAATAAGAATTTTATTCTTTAGTATTCTTAACACAATTTTATTCTATGTTTTTTGTTTAAATAATTCAATCAAGTTTCCTAGAAGTTCTACAAGCTGGTTGTATCCCAGTTATGTTGAGCAATGATTTGGAACTTCCATTTTCTGAAGTGATTGATTGGAATCGAGCAGTTATTTGGGCTGACGAACGATTACCTTTATTGCTTCCATTGAGCCTAAGACGTATTACATCGCATCAGATAATTCAATATCGACAACAAGTTATGTTTCTTTGGCATACTTATTTATCTTCAATTGAATCAATTGTTCTTACAACACTAGAGGTAATTGCTTTCTTTTAAATCCATACCTTATAGTCTGACCAGTCATAGTTAATTATAGAGATGCATTGAAAAGATGTTCTGTATAGTCTCAGGTTTATATCCAAATAAAATTGAGTAGAAAGGTAAAGTGTCGTCAAATAAATTTGCTTGTAATTAGTTATTTGCATTATATCGTTTTTATGGATAGCGAATGGGATCAAAAACATTTCCTTCATTAGCAAAGATCATATTTATAGGTGGGTGGGGATATTCCTTAGCACTTGGACTGAAGTAAATGGTTTTCATAAAAGTCCACTCCCCCAGCATTTGACCGTAAGCCTTGTCTACCAATCAATCAACCTTTCATTTCATTGAATACCAAAAAAATACATGAGTACACTATCTTTTGTTTCGTTATTATACTTCTTTTAGATTTTACGGGATAGAGTTTCACTTCGTCGTAGGAGTTATGAAATTTGGAATACATTACCTGGTGGTCTTGTAGTTTCGCATGTAAATTCTATGGACAGTTGTGACGTAGCAATTCAACGATATCCCACGCATTGTCAATGTAAGTTTTTCTCAGGAAGACACCAATAGCATACCATTTCTGAACCATCTTTTCACAGTAAACAATCAATGGGTATACTCTGTGCAAAAGTGAATAGAATGTTACACTTTAGAACTCTACATGAATTGTAAGCGTATTTAAGTCTTCTTGTTAGGTAGTGAGAGGCGACTGGTTGCATTCTACCAGCCCTCGGAAACTAGACGAGTCCAACGCTGGTTTTTAGTCAGTCGTCAACAAGTATAGTGGTATCTTTCATAGAGGAGGTCAGTTGCGGCCAGAATCGTTCAGCGATGACATCATTAATTTTGAAATTGAATGACTCTGATTTGAATCACTTAGGGCATATCACTTCAATCATTTTTTCAGATACACTTTGCTCGTGAATGACAGCTGATACGACTAGATTCAGTTACCTCTAAGGTCTAGACAAACGTAATAGCTACTACTTAGTACACCTAACTGTTGGTTCGTTCTGTGTAAAACTTAACCAAATCGTGTAAAAAAACACTTTTCCATGCGAAAGAATAATATGAGTCGTTCAAACTCTTTGTAAACGACACCAGTAATAAAAAATTTTTAAATCAAATTAGAGACTGTTTTTTCCTAATGAAGTCTCAAAAAAGTCTGAACAAGATGTAATTCAACTGTAAACCAGTTCGCATGCGAGGCTGTAAGCAACACCCATGATGTTGTGTAGCCTCAAAAATTAAAGTGAGATTTTTAAACACGTAACTGTAAATTAATTAATCACTGGGTTACCAAGCCGCAGATCTATTTAATTTACTAGAGATGTTAAAAAGTTATTATCATGTTTTCGTTATTTCTGCCCTAACAATATATAGTTTTGTTTTCATTTTGAAATACCTTTCATCTTTGTATTTTTCATTTAAATAGACGAAATCAAGTCAGGTTTCACAATGTTGATTCCAATACGTACAGAACTTTGTGCTGTATATATGGAACGTTTAAAATCTCTCGGTGGAATTCTGTTCCATTCAGTGTATTTACGAAAGGTAAACCAAGTTTTATTCCTTAAATTAAATAATACTATCATAGCGAGTTTTTCGTTTGTGTGTATGAGAAAGAGTATATCTCTTCACGAACACATGATAAAAATGATTTATTTGTTAATATTTCGACTGGGGGTTACTTTTTAAAATCTATTCCACCCATTTTATTTTCAATAACAACATATTACAATTCGCCGCACAAATCATAAAGTACTGAATGAGTTAATTTAAAATAATACTTTCGACTTATCAGCTTCTCTGTCATTTTACCAAAACTTAGCTAAAGATATAAACCCAAAGTTTCATGCTGATGATTATTCAGACCATTGAACTTTGAACAAGTTGTATTGTAATTTTGAGTTGACTAAATTAGTAAACTCTTTACAACTTGATTTGTATAATCTAATAAACTTTACAAATCAGACAGTATGACATTGATTGCTACTATGAGAATAATGCTTCGTTTCTACAGGGATTAGTCGCAATCGTTTTATTACAGGCATGATTTCAGGTACTTACTGGATCTTAGGCTGTGTAAGGATAGAAAAGAAAAACAAAGATTATCGGTACTATGTGATATATTAACTCAGCACAATCTGATTATAGATTTACTTATTGCAACATTATACATATATGTATAATATTGAAAGGTATTTGTGCATGGTAATGGGTGTGAAAAATATGACATATGTAGTGTGAAAGGATAGATTTGAATTCATATATATATATATATATATATATATATATATATATATATATATATATATATATATATATATATATATATATAGTAATAATGTGAGTTGTGGATAGCATTAGACATGGTAGCTTGGATAAGTAGTCCAAATAGGGATGGATAGTAAGGCTTTTTTTGTCTGTTGAGGGCATAAAGATTTGGCATTAAATGAAAAGCTACTCACCTTTCTTTGTAAGTGGGAAAGCCGTTTTTGCATTGTTTTTTTTCAGTATTTTTAATATCAACTTGATGGTTATTGAAGATGGCATGTACTGCTAGTTGTTTAAGAGTAGTTCATAATCTCTCAGATATAAATTTAAGCAACCAAAAAATTACTCCACTGAAAAAAGGATTAGATTTCAGTTTGGATAGAGAACCACTTAGCACTCTAGAAATCGCTGTAATTACTGAACCATTAATCAAGCAACTGCCGGAAAGAGAACCTCATTTACTACGTCAAAAAACATTTTATATTTTTACTAAACAAAAACTTACGCCTAATATTTAGAAACGAAGAATTTTAAGTTCAACATACACTTCAAAAAGACAGGTATCAGAATCACAAAAGCTGATAATGGTAATACAACAGTAGTCGTAAATAAAAGGGATTGTGATACTAAAGCTTCTAAACATCTATCCACAGGACCATTTCAAAAGATTGATTCAATAAAATTCTAAATATTTCAAAATAAAAATTCAAAGACATATTGACTTTGTGGTTTGCTCTTTATCCTGAATCATGCACCATATCAAGTTGTTGTAACGCTTGCTTACGATATTTCCCGGCTAAATCTTATTGCTTAGTATTCTTGACACAAAACACTGGACAAGTAACACAAATCAGAACACGGTTGAACAGGAAAGATTGTATTCCAAAATAGCAAGGAAAAGAAGCTGGAGGTGATGGCGAAAGCCAAGGCAAAAAGGCTTGAAAGCGAAGAAGGCTAAGAAGGCTTGAAGGCGAAGATAAATACAATGCTAGTCTATTTATAGCCTTTACATGAGAAAACTTCTGGAACAAAATTCACGTGATCGACTGGACTGGATTTGACCAATCCGCATGCAGCTAATAAGACGAGAATTTTCTATCCTGTTCTCCAAGCTTCGATCAGGCGCTGATTGGATGGGAAATTAGCCAATCAGCGCGTAGTGACGTAATCTCGCTTTAAATCCATCTATGTCCCACTAACACCGCCCCTATGAGAAGATTCGTAGGATCTGGCGCTAAAGTCCCACTGCTTCCTGAATGCCTTGCCACCCGTACTCTTACGAGCCGCCTTCTTTGTAGGAGGCATATCTTTCAACAGCCGTCGATTGGGCTGCTTCCCCATCGATAAGTTTTGTTGAGGCTCATCAGCAGCATATGATATAGGGCGTCTCGGACGTGAAACAGGTTTGGCATCTGCTTTCGCTGGTAGGTTAGCTTTCAGATTCGTACCGCGGCCAAGGCTATTCTGAGAAACAGAGGCTGACTTCCTCTTTCGTTTATCTTGTAACCTTTCACCTGTCTTCTTTTTAAGTATCGGGGTATCCACTGATGAACATGATACGCTGCAGACACTGTTAATGGGTAAATCCATTATTCCCAGCTTTTCTAGCATATCTAGACCAAGAAGATCAAGGTTTGGCCGTTCTGTCAAATAGCATATTCCTGTACATTTTTTTCCGTTGAAGGAAAATTCACAGAGCATCTCACCAACCAGTTTTAACACACCACCTGAAGCGCTTTTAGCTGTTTTCTTAGATGGCTTCATTGGCGGTCTTCCCAGCGAGTTGTACGTCTCTCTAGACATTAAGGTGATATCTGATGCCGTGTCGATTTGAAAACGAGCTGACGCACCGTTCCTCTGTATAGTGACATACTTTCTCCGAACGACATATTCTGTTTGAAAAGCAGCTACGAGAGAAAGTGATTTAGACTCGGCTGATTTCACCACATGTCGAGTACGTTTGCGCTTCTTCTTGGGCTGAGACGTACGATCTGGTTGGCAATGGCCTTCTTTATGTCCACGTTTATGGCACATCTGACATTTATGTTTTTTAAATGGACAAAATCGTACGTAGTGCCAATCACCACATAACCAACACAAGTTTTTATGGTTTACTCAAAATTTATCAACCAGACATCCTACTAAGACCTATAATCAACGTCACAAAAAGCACACCTCCCTACATATCAATCAATCAACAGCAACATAGAACTTCGTACGTACGTGCATCAGTTCAAGTTGCCATACCACATCAACACAGAGATATAATTGTCAATTCAAATCCCATAGTAGTAGAGGTAGTAAAAGTATTAGCAGTAATCGGAGAGATCAAGGTTCAAAGATATTATTCACGAAGTAGAATCTGGTGAAAGAAACTTAAAAAGAAAAAGATAAAGGTGATGAAGAACTCTGAAGGTTAAGATTTGAAAGAACACAAAGAATGAATGTACCTGCGCCATTGCAAATGGTTTTGAGCCATGTCATTCAGGGTCGCGACACCATGAAATCCACCTAGGTGTCTTTCCTTTTCACCTAGTCTACTTACTGGGCATTAAAGTTACCAGCCATTATTACTATATCAGAGTGCCTAACGTTTTGGAGGACGTCCGAAAGCTTTCTTTAAAACTTATCTTTTGCGTCGTCTGAACTGCAGTCAGTGGGAGCGTATGTAGATACGATGAAGAGGCAATGGCGAGTGTCCCTACCTTTACGAGTCCTTACTGTCCCGTTTAGTTGGACAGCGCATATTATCCAAATATCTAAGCAGTAATATTAAAACCACTCCACTACAACTTACATAATGTAATTAAAGATTCCCAAGACTTTAAATGAAATATATTGGTAACAAGATTCAAATTTCGATTCATGATTCAATTAACTAAGTAGTTCACTATTCATTCTATTGAGTTACAGTCCAGCTACATTTGATTGTTTATATATGTGAAACTAACAACTTATCATATATACGTATATACGAATATTTTTGTTATTTTATTCTCTCTTTAGATCATTATTGTTTGGCAGTGTAAGAATTTTCCACCAAATAATAATGAATTAAAATCTTATGCTTCAGTTCCAGTTGAAATTGTTCTCCCTGATGAACGGTTTACATCGAAATATTTTCCTAATTCTATATCTCCAGCTGTTCGTTTTCAACCTTTTCATGAAATCCCCACTTTGGCTGTATTCACATATTCATTAGACTTGAATATTACAGTAGAAGAAGTAAATAAAAGTACCATTTTAATTTTGCTTTGTTTTTAACTTTTAATTTTGAAACTAAACCTCTACTATGTTAGATAACTGAATGCACTAATTCATACACATAAAATTCATCACTCGATAAATTAGTAAAAAAAACATGTCAATAAATACAATATTCAGTTAGCTTTTATTCATATGCTAAATATGCAGTCATTCAGTTTGTCCTTAGCATAGCCATTTCCTTTTGTTTAGGTGATTTGTTTATCGCATTATCTTTTTAGATAATCAAACAGGGGAAGCGGTAGAGCTATTAAAAAAATAAGTGGAAAAATACTATTTCTTACATATATTTTCTGAATTATGATGTTTTAACCCAATTATACCGGTAAGAATGTTTCACTTCTGGCAAACTTTCTTCATAAATATAAATGTAATGACCCTGGGTGCTTAGTGATCCTGACGTTAAATGCGCTAGAAAATTGACTCGTAACTCATCTATGTCCTTAATACACTAAGCCACTAAATTTAACCATGTGATGGCTCGCATGAGTTCGATTATAGACAGCCTGTCTAATTAATCTGTTATTCTAATGCTGATTGGCTTTCACAAACGTTTTTCCCTGTGAACCAATGAGAAGATAGTCGGACAAAAGGTTAAATTAACTCAAAACGTTGTGGGACTAAGTGCATAAACACAATATCAAAAATACAGTAAGCTGCTTAAAGTAGAAATTTGGAGTCGTGTGTATTTGCTTTCATCATCAAGTTCAAATATACTTCTAGTTTTGGTCATGGGATTATCGTGTTTTATGAGCAATCACAAACTCGGGACAAAGATCCCATTGCTGCTTTTATGTCAGTGAATGAATTATTGGTGGATGCAGTAAAAACTCCTTGTAGTAGATCTTCAAGCTTCTAACTACTCGACGTGATCCTACTTTAAAATGAACTATGAGAATTTATCCGATGCTATTGACTCACACATGTTAGATCCTATAAACCAAAGCAATATCACTGATGACGCCAATCTCCGTTATGTTGGCCAATATTGTAACCCGTACTCAACCGCCCTACGATAGCTCCACTCAATACACCCGACAATCAGGTCAATGAAATTTATTGCTCAAAGCTATGTGCATTGAGAAGTAAATTGAAGAGCTGGTAACTGGTGCGCATGTTAATCCTTTGTCTAAATTTACGGCTCAGACATGTATAATAGATGCTTAGCTACCGCCTGCCTTGACGCACAATCCTAGATGTCTTAGAAGTAGGATAGAGGAAAATTAGGAGCGACCAAACTAAGACATGTTTTTAGCTTTTAAAGACATCTGCTGTACTGTTTCGTGTTTGTAGATGTAGACCCCCTTGTCTTTATCCGCCTAATGTTTAAAAACGTCGAGTAATATGGCCTAATATTGCTTGCAATGGAACAGATCCATTCATCTTTGATCTCTATCTAAATATTGAGTTCTAGGACTACTTCATACTTTTTATTCCTGTTTCATTCCACTAAAGTAAATTCAGCTAAATTTAATGTTACCACATGAAGTTTGGTAAAATCGAAAAACGTTTTCGTGAATTCATAAACACATGGTTTTGGGCTTGGTTTAAGTACTTCGTTTTTTTGCATATTAAAGTAAAAGTCGACTTAATTGCGAATTAATAATAATAATTCTTTCTGCATTACATTTTTTATAGTTAAATTTTGCTTATCTAACTTGGCAAGAATTTCCAAATCGTTTAGTTGGATTTCAAGCTCGTTCACATTATTGGAATGCTACAGATCATCTATGGAAATATGATGATAATCCATCGATGAAACATTTTTCAATAGTTTTATTAAATGGGGCATTTTATCATCGGTTAGTTCTATTGTTTGCTTTTTTATTTCTCATATAAAAAGAATAAATCTAACTAAAAATACATAATATTAAAAATACTAAAAATCTAATTGACACGTTAGTGTTTGTAGCTTTTGATGTCGATGTTTAGGTTGTGTTAGTCTATGAGCAAATGTTTTAGTGGACGAACGTATTGCTCAGAATGATATTATGAATACAATTTCATGTGTAACAATGTTACTTGACTTTGTATTTATAAAATATAGTTGAGCGTTTAACCTCATCACCAGTCATCATCTTCAGTACATACAGGTACAAGTCAGATTCAACTGTTATTTTGTATCGCTATAATCAGTCAGTTGATTTCTTTACACAATTGAATTGATTATTCCATCATATATGTCTACTGATTATTACATCTGTTAAGCAGTAGTTGTGTAGAAACAACAATTAAATCTAATTACTGCTGGTCAAACTATTGTAGGGTTTTTTTTTCAATTGATTATTTCAAGTATCTATTATAAAAAATCTTGTTTTATTTTATTTTTTTTTGTAGTTATTATCATCATCTTTATCTAACATTGTTAGATCGTAAACTTCACGAGATTGTCAATGTATTTAATAATTGTGAAGATATCCTTTTCAATTGTCTTATAAGTCATGTAACTAGTTTACCACCAATTAAATTATTTAATACAAGCTATATAGAACAAAAACTATTGTCAATAGATAAAAAACATTTAAATTTCACCGAATTAAATATTTATCGTGAACAGCGAACTTTATGCATACAAGCATTTTCACAGCATTTCATTAAATTCCCATATACTGGAAAACAATCTAATCCACTTATTAATGATCAGTACATAAGTGAAGAAAATACACCAGAGTTATACCTACCACTTTACATTAGTTCATATAGGTAAGAAAAAAATTATGCTTTTTTTCTCTAACTTTTTGAATTTTATGTTTATTTTTTGAACTGATTGACTTTTGTTGGCAATTTCGCACTTAGTGAGAAAGATTACTACAGTACTGTCATGCAGTAGAATTCTATGTTACTTGTTTAGTTGTGATTGGTTTGTACCAACCTGAACTCACGTATTACGTGGTAGCCTATGGATTCGATGAAAATTTGTTTCCAATAATTAAATAAACATTGACAGTATCAGTCAGTAGCAATTTAGAGCTCAGCTCATTTTGCCATACCATATTGACACAGAGATGAAATTGTTAGCCCATATCCTAGAGTAGTAGAGATAGTAGCAGTATTAGCAGCAATGCAAAAGGTTAGGGATCGAAGTTAAGATTCAGGGAAATAGAAATCTGTAAAAAAATTCAAAAAAGATATGCGAAATTCTGAATAATAAAATTTAGGGGGAAACAGAGAGTGAATGCATTTTTACCATTGCAAACGATTTTGGGCCATGTTTTTGGAGTCTACATTCATGAAATACGGTTGTCACGCAGACCCTAACATGGATCATGCTAATTGTCAATGATTTCATGGACGGGTACCATATTCTGCTTTAGCTGGCCCCTAGCTCTCTTCTTCGAGGTGGCCACTGGATGGACATACGTAACACATGTCCCAACCATCTAAGTTGTTGAAAAATCACTACTTTAGCAATTGGTTTGCTATCCCTACCTAGTACTGTATTTTAAAATAAGGAATCGTCCAGAACACATGAACCGTTCTTCGAGTACAACCAACGTACAAATATCCTCCATTCTTATCAGCCATGATTGTAGTGGTGTTTTGTTCTCTGAGCTGGTTGTTTTGGTTGTGGAGCTTTCATTGTTCTTCTGAACAACATCATCAGCACGAACTTCAGATAGAAGTGAAGCATTAGAATTTCTCCACGTTTGACCTGTAGCTTGTTCTGCTAACCTCGATCTTGATTGGTTGTTGTTGACATTTGACCTGTCGTTGTTTGCAACTATGTTTTGATTGCCTCCCTCTTTTGATCTGTTTCTTGATCTAGTGTCACCTATGATTTTCCTGATTGGTTGATAAATTGGGTCAATGTCGATGTGTTTGTTGATTGCTAATTGACCTAAGTGCCAAGCTTCTAAAAATTCTCTAGTGTTCTTTGTCCTCCCCCTACCTAGTATTTCCACGTTGTTCCAATCAAATGTGTGTCCATAATTGTCGGTGTGTATTGATATAAGCGAAGCGTTGTCGTGGCGTTTGACTGCTAATTGATGTTCACGTAAACGGAGCTGAAGAGGTCGTCCACTTTGTCCTATGTAGTGTTTTTCACAATTTGAGCAATTTATTTTGTAGATGATATTTGGTTTTTCTTCCTTTGTCATTTTGTCCTTTGGTCTACATAGGATTGACTGAAGTGATTCCGTTGGTTTGTGTGCCACACCTATTCCAAATGGTTTCAGTAGTCGTGCCGTATGTTCCGATATGTGTTTGATGTATGGTAGGATGATGCGTTTATTTGTTCCTGTGCTTGATTTCACTCCTGATGATAGTTTTGGTTGATGTTTTTTGATGAAGTTGCGTGGATAGCCGTTCTTTTGGAAGATAGTCATCAGATGTTTTTCCTCGTTTTTTAATGTTTCGTATGTGCTGCAGTGTGTCTTCGCTCTCTTGAACAGAGTTTGTATGCAGTTAATCTTGTGGGTTCTTGGGTTGTTACTGTCGTAGTTGAGAATTACGTCTGTGTGGGTTGGCTTCCGAAATACTTGAGTTTCTAGTTTTCCTGTGTTAGTTCTGGTGATTAGTACATCCAGGAATGATAGGCTGTTGTTTGATTCCTTTTCCATCGTGAATTTGATGTCATCAAAGACGTTGTTGATCTGATTGTAGATGTTCTCCAGCTCATTCCTTTTGATAATAACGAATGTGTCGTCTACATAGCGAACCCACATTTTTGGCTTGATCACTGGCAGAATCGACGCTTCCAGTCTCTGCATTACCGCTTCGGCGATGAGTCCTGATATTGGTGATCCCATTGGTGTTCCTTTTATTTGTTCGTAGACTCTGTTGTTGAACTGAAGATATGTTGTTAAGCATAGGTCGATGAGTTCAAGCAAACTTTGACTCTGAAGTTTTGTATATTTGTGTAGATTTGTGTCGTTGGTGAGGAGCAGAGAAAGAGTTTCTTTGGCTAAGCTTGGTTCTATTGAGGTAAATAAGGCTGTTACGTCGAAGGATATCATCATTTCGTCGTTGTCAATTTGAATCCTCTTGAGTTTATCCAAGAATTCTGTGGCAGACTTAATGGAGTAGTTGGAACAATGAAAGCTCCACAACCAAAACAACCAGCTCAGAGAACAAAACACAACTACAGTCATCCACCTGAGCTACAAGTTTTCTCCACCATCTCAAAGTCATATGAGCGTGATACGCTTCACATTGTTCGAAAATGGGAGAATTTCGCCAAAAGGCAGGCTTCGACTCGAGAACTGTATGGAGCGGAAACATGGAGAACTACGAAAGGCATCATTCAGAAGATACAAGTGTTTATTAACAGCTGTCTACGCAAAATACTTCGGATTCGTTGGCCAGACACCATCAGCAACAACGTACTGTGGGAGAGAACAAACGAGATTCCAGTGGAGGAAGAAATCAGGAAGAAGCGGTGGAAGTGGATAGGACACACCCTACGAAAAGCACCCAACTGCATCACGAAACAAGCCCTCACATGGAACCCTCAAGGCAAAAGGAAAAGAGTAAGGCCAAGGAACACATTACGCCGAGAAACAGAGAAAGATATGAAAAGAAGGAACAAAAATTGGACAGAACTGGGAACTGAGGCCCATGACAGAGTAGGTTGGAGAATACTGGTCGGCGGTCTATGCTCTATCGGGGTTAACAGGCGTAAGTAAGTAAGTCGAGACTTCTATATCCGCGCAGGCCAACAGAATTGATGAGACTCCCAAGATAACCGAAGCGGTCGATACGCTCAACCGCTTCACTCTATCAATATATTTCAGGTGCTGATGAGACCCAATTCTGAAGTAACATTTTGCATCTGCAAGGAGAGAATACCATGCCGCACTTACTTGCATTGTTGCTAAGAGCCTTCACCAAAGAGAACTATATGATCTCTGTATACTAAGTCAACATGTGAATGTCCTGGTAGGAGGTCAACCCCTGAAAAGTCAGGCGATCAGTGTTGATTTTGAAAACACTTGGAAAACAAAACTTGAAGTACTTGTTTTCGAAGACAGCTCACCTTAAGCTCTAACTTGACCTACAGTATTAGAGTATGGAACCCATTAAAGGTTAGTATACTTCCGTGGTACACCTTTCTGTGACAGACTACGACAGAACATCATAATAAACAGACTGAAACACCATCTTGGGGTTAAGAAACACAATTATGCCCACCACGAGTCAGCTTGGAATGACATCCAAAAACCCATGGAAATAGCTGTGATATCTGCTAGTAAGGTAAACCATAAGGTTAGGAAAATAGCGGATTTCAATAGCATCTACCGAATTGATAGATGCTCGGAAACTCAACGTCAACAAACGTTACGGCTGCTTCTTCACTTACTTTTCTATCAGGTCCGTTCATATTAAAACGGCCCATACCTTAGATACGGATTGATTATCAAAGTTTATGGCCAGAAGAGGAAAATCGGGGCACTTTCTCTGCGACATTGGCCCAAATTCTAGAGGCATAGACGCTAGTGAGGTAGGCTTTTGGCACTTGCGATTAAAACAAGACAGAGAACAGACTCAAAGAACGGGGATGTTAATGACGTCCCACCCAACCCATTAAGGAGTGTGAGAACGCATCATAAGGTCAACCAGAAAAATCTAAATTGTACTGACCGACGAAATTTTATGAACATTTTAACTGAGGCCGGAAAATTACTGCACAGCAATCCACTAGCGAGTATGACAGGATGATGGTGGCATGCTAGATGTGCTTACTCTTGGTAAGCTGTTGTCGATCTAAAGATTATCCTCAGTTACTTCTTGCTTTTGCCACACTCACGGTGTTGATTGATGTATAGAAACAGATTAAGTTTGGTTGTGCTGTGAATATACTTGACAGAATAGGAAATCGCTTATGATCGCAACTGTATGTAATGACTTATTGCAATAACTACGATTGATTAGTTACGACAAAGAATATGGTACGAAGCCAGAGAAGTCGGTGCGTTATATTTGTTAACAATATCGTCAGTACATTTTTAATCATTCTTAAATTACTTTTATTTCATTTCCATTATAATGTAGTATACATCCTTCAATGTGAATTTCGAGATGTTCGTAATTCCTCAAATTACAACTTTATGGCAAGATTGTAAATGACAGGTCTAAATAACAAAACAACTCCGCAGATTGGAGCTTAATGGATAATTCGTTATCGTATGTTGTCTTCTTATACTCAACACGGTAACAATATGTACTGTAAAAGCCAACCTTTGTTGTAGATATTTTCGTCATAAAACAGCATAACTGTTTGTAAATATACCAACTTTGTCAAACTATATTAACGCTGATTATCATTCTTGCAATGTATATCAGCAATTACCGAAAAATAAAGTGAATGATGGCATAAACAAATCAACACCGACATGGTTCAATATTTAAGTTTATTATCCAGTAGTTATAAGAATTGTAGATGGAGAATTATTCACTAGATGACTAACTAAAAAGTGTGGAACATCGTAGACAGCGAAATATGTTTATAATAGTGCAAATGGTAGAGTGTAATCAATCTCATGTCAGTCATTTTATTTGACAACAAACCGTAAGTATTATGCAATAGATACCTTGAATACAATTTATTGTGCCTGATCACACTACTCTAATTGAGATATAAGCGCCACATTTTACGTACGCTTAGTGACCATTAGCTTTTTGGATTCATAGGACTTAAATGTGGATTGAAGATACCTTATCAAGGTGATATGCATTTTCATACTATATTCGAAATGTGTTATGAAACGCTTTTAACGGTTTCTGATACGAACGAAATGTGTTCTTTAATGAAAAGCTTGTTTACATGAAATCTTTCATCTGAAAATTATCTATATCAAAAAATATCGCAATTCAGAATGCACACGCACGTTGCTTATATAAACAAATTGAATAACCGAGCAATATAACAGAGACAGAAGGGATTATTGTCAGGACAAAATGCGTAATTTGTAATGCTGACTGTACAAATCAGACAAACATCATCGTTCAATAGCTTCATCAAATACATGATCAACATCTAGATGGATAACTTCACTATTAAAATGCTCTTCCTTGGTAGGAACTTTTTCATTATTATGAACCATCGAATTGGCCACAACTGATTGTACTTTTGTTTCTAGTGTATTTGTCACATTTTCATTGTCTGTTAGTGGTGACTGGTTAGCTGCGCTATTCGGACTGTAATTTTGATCATCACTTACAGCAGATTTATTTCCATTTAATATTTCTTTCCCAATAGTAGACCATAACATAGGTTTGGGAGCAGGAACGGGCATTGGGATTGGTTTTTGTGAACTACTGTCTCCTTCTATCTCCTCGAATTTATCGTGGAGCCACTTTTTAGGTGCTATATCCGAACGAGATGAACGTGACTTACTAGGTGGTGAGGGAGAAATGCGACGAGATCGACGATCACGTCGATAACCTGAAATAAAATGTTCATAAAAAATGCCGAAAATTTAAAAACAGTGAAATTGTAACTAAAATTATTTTTCCGGTACACTAAATTAACCTAACTCCTAGCATACTAACAGATCGTAAAGTATACCATGCAACATCTTAAACAATAGCACCGGTGTACGAATTGATATGTCACACCGACAGACATAATCGCAGTTAACTATACATCTAGCTAGTATTATGATGTTCACTTGATGTAAAGTATTTGGTTTGACAGGAATTATTCGTTAAAGTCAGGAGTTAAGTAATTGGTATGAAACAAAAAATTGAGATTACAACACTATGTGATAGAATTCATTAGTAAAGTATATTATACTTCTGTACTTGTAGACTGCAGCTGAGGCTAGGTGGTTCAACTACCACCTTACATGAATTAGTCTAATTTAACTGTTTACTCGTTTCTTACAATCGTTATCTAATGGAATTTAGATCAAATATAATATTAATTCTGATGAGTTTGGCTTATTGAAAATTCATTAAAAAATATATAGAGAGCAGTAATATTAGGTAAATATGTATAGCCTATACTTACTAGAAGAGTATAAGCGGTCGGATTTATTATTCCATCGGCGCCTTGTACCATACCCATCGTCTGTTCGATCATCATGCTTCATTAGAAAAAAAACTAGTCTAGTTAATTGTCAATTTTAAGTTTAATTTAACGAAGATACTACATTATTATCACTAAACCACTATCTTTATCGGAAACAAATCTAAGGGGAATGCTATTATGCATTATGATATTATACCATACCAAAGTTATAGAGGTAGGTATTTTGAGATTATTTTGTTTTACTTTACTGTGGACTTCTTCCAGAGCTCAATCGTAGGAATAGTGAGAAAATATCACGTGTTTTTAATTGTATAATTCATTGAGTATAAAGAATGTTGGAAACTAATCATCATTTGGTGATAATAAATGAGTTTCTGAATTCCTCATAATCTCTACCTTTCTCCTTCTAAATTTATCTTACTGAATTATACTTCTCGAATCATATCTTCGCTCCCTAATCTTCTCCATTACTGCTAATACTTCTACTATCTCTATCACTCTTGGATTTGAACTGACAGTTGCGTCTCTGTGCTGATGTGGTATGGCAACCTGAACTGATGTACTTATGTACGAAGTTCTGCGTTGTATCTGTCTGTCTGTCTGATAATAAATGAATGCTTTTTAAACTTTCAGAAGAATAATTGACTAGATATATATCTATCTACCCTGAAAAACGTTTCAGGCTAAAAAAAAAGAATAAGGTAATAATACAACTAGTACAGCTAATAACTTGTTTTCCATTTAAACAAAAATCTATGGAGACGAACATTTGCGTTCATTTGCATGAACGCAACAAAGCATTTCGTTCTACTCATACAAACTTGAAATGAAAAACATTTACCAAGTAGCATTATTGATAAAATGATAAAGACTATTTGACCAAGTTTAGTAACAAAACTAAAAACGTATTGTGAAAATACGGTTTCAGTTTGCTTTTTACCGTGATAATTTTGAATAACACTATTTAATCTCCACAATCAAATTCCAGTTTATTCAGTAAGAAAAAACGCGTATCAAGGGACAGATAAACAAACTGGTATTTGGTAATGATTTCCAAATATAAAGATAATTCCATTAAAATCACGAGTTGATTTAAGTATTGTACTTTTTGAAAGTACTGAACGGCTGTTTCTTCCTGAAACGAGACTCCTCAACAGTAGGCACCTGCAACCACAAATCAAACCTAAGACCTTCGAGGGAAACAGAATCAATTTTTTACAGCCGAAAACATTTTAAAGTATGAATTAAAAATAAGGGAATATTTAAATTATCAGAAAGGTTTCATCTTTCAAAAATTTTAAATTAAAATAAAAAATGATAAACGGTGAAAACTCACAAGATAATAAGACTGTCCTTTTGGAGTTTCTGAAGGATCCAAAGAATAAGCTTTTAAAAAAGAGTAATATCTTAGTAATGCTTACACATACATTCATTCATATGCAAAATTTTGACCACTACTAGCGTTCGCATTAATGATTTTATGATTTGCATTTTTTTTAGAAACATACAATTTATGCCTGAATGTATCTGCACCAGATTTAACTCATCTAAAGACATGTAATTGACTTTGAGCCATACTAAATTTACGAGTTAAAATCAATGTGCAGTCTGGGGCATGCGCGCTTTCCCTGGTTTACATCTATTAAACATAACCATGAGATGAACCGCAGAGGAGTTAAAACAATGTTACTAGTGTGATGCTTAATGATAACGATTTGCATTTTAAGCAAAAGTAGGTGGATCAATTTCTGATCTATAACCTGTGAGTTGGAGGTACTTTAGACACTAAACTATCGCTTCTATGGGTTAAGTCATAGTTGGTTTGGAGTTTGGATACATACCTGGTTTTACGAAATCATACATGATTTCTTAACTTCCTTGTGGATAATTTAAGTCACAAAACGAGACTCAATTTCAGTCTTTGAGACGAGATCTGACGCAACAAACAATGATGATTGTCACAGATCATTTACAAAACTGGAAATAATTGAATGTACCTTCACAGTAAAACACTTAGCTTTCTATCAAAACATAATCTTTAATATGATGTTAAAGAAAAGTATTTTTTATAATGTGTCGCGTATGAAGCCATCAACAATAAGTACATCCTACCATGGTATTACGTGAAACTTGTGTTAATAACTCAGGGATATCTAGTCCATTATCAAACGATAATGTACAACAGTTCATTTTTATTAGAGGAATGAATAGGCCAAAATTCACTACAGAAATATGCGGTTAGGTTACTCACACCCATCACTAACTATGAGCTCTTTATATGTACCGGATTACATGTATTTAATAGCTGTTTGACTGTCTATCTAACTGCATTAACTTTGTATAGTGTATTTATTCAAGATATTAGTTTACTTTAAGCATTTAATTCACTCATATACCAAATTTAATTAGAAAAGGGATCACATGCTATAACATTTCTAATTCAATTCACTACCGTACTGTATAGTGGTCTATTTGATATTCTGAATACATATTTAGTACTAATACAATTCTTCTTTTCATTGAATTCATACTTTTCTGATTATTATCGAAGTATGAGTGCGTCTACTGATTTAATTTTTTTTAAGTACGAGGTACAAAATGTGACGTTCTATTCTCATGTTGTACTTGAATACATGCAATGACTCAAGTTCACTTTGATATATCTTAAATGCGATGTTTCTTTTTTGTAGATTTTTTTATTATTCACTAGTTTGTATTTTCTCGAATCCTGTTACTATCTCTGCTACTCTGAAGGCTGCATCTTCTTGTATTAATATGTTATGGTAACTTGAATTGATGTACATATGTACCAGGTTCTATTTTGTGTTTGAGAGACTAACTGACAGCTTTAAAACTGCTAATGAGAAAGATGACTGACCATGTGAAGAGTAACGTCAGTAATTGGCTGATAAAGTTCAGACTAAAAGATTCGAATGATCGAGTTCTATCTTATAACTTAAAGGGAGTTGAAAACTTATATAATTTTAATACCTCAAGATGCATAGTTTAGTGCATTAAAGGAATGGAGTTTAAGTTAAAAATTCAACCGTATGCAGAAAATTAAAATAATCAAATTACTCACTACGCTTTGAATCTATTAAACGTTCGTCTACTCGACTGCCATAAAATCGACCAGGACCTGTAAAATGACTTATGTCGTGATACTCACTTTCTTTTTTGTTTTCTGTATAATTGGGTCTTCTAATATCACCAAGCAGAATATAATGAAAAAAATAGTTTATATTTTAACCATTTAATGATTTACTCAAGAAAAAAGAATGTATGGCTATGAATAAAATGGATTGCGTGACATAAAATGCCAACTTAAAACAGATTTGAATCTCATGCACTTTTTCGTGGATATAAAAATTACCTGTCAGAATGTCTACAGTGAGAATTTCCATTAGTCAATAAACAATGTTAATCGGGACTTTATATTCAATTGTTTAGGCATATACGTAGAAAAGTTGTTTAAATGTAGCACTTACCTTTTATAGCTATCATATATAATTAGAGGCGAGAATATATATAATAGTTTGTCAGATTTTCCAGCTGCTCATAATTAAAAAATATATAACCTCTGTAAACACTTTAAAACTCATGAAGCTTATATTAACATCGTATTTAGTGGTAAGACTGATTGAATGATTCATACAAAAGTTCCTCGTAGCAGAACATTATTTCTGCTTAACGGATACACTACAACCCACTAGTACTTCTGTTTATTGTTATTTGCATAAGAAAAACTTCATTACTGAATGTTGCATAACCTGATATATCAGGACAATTATGAGCGAAATGATAGTTACAACATACCGTGAATTTGAGGACGAAATAGTGTCTGCTAAACGTTTGTAAATTTGAGCTTCATCCGCTTCAGTATTGTAAAACTTCAACTACAAAATAAGATATGATGAACATTACAGGATGAGATAATTGAAATTTTTTTAGTACAATTAGAGAAAGACAACGGAATATGTAGTACACTAACTTCCTTTGCTAACTCCGTAATAAAAGACAATAAATACCTGCTAAAATATTTACACGACAGTTTTACGAGCACTACGATTATTTGCTTTCAAATAGGATACGGAAATTGTCATGTTTTACTGTCTCACGTTGTAAAATGAATATCTAGCATCCAACAGTGAAACAGTTAGCTATTGTATAATATATCTGCGTTACAATTAATGTAAATTGGTGTAGGTTAACATAAGTTCTTTCTTATTAGAAAGTTTCGACAGCCAGAAATCGGCCAATATAGGTAAAGAGCGGTTAGTGCACAAAACCAGTTTCCTTGTTGTTGTCTAAAAAATCAATTATTCTTACCAGTCCCAAAGAAGCACTCTGTTTTGAGTAGAAACCTTTTAAATATTTTTAAACCGAAATTTAATGTGTTTAGAAATTTATGTTTTTACTTATGGAGTCTGTGTATTCTAAGACGATAAAGACGTTTTGTAGGAAGAATTCAACAACCAGATGATTGGAAATATCACCTCTAGAAGCATATTAATGACGAAGTTGGAGGCCGACTGAGGATGAACATTTTATGGATGCTTCGATGGAAGATTGTGATACAATTCAACACCACGGTTTTTACATGAGGCGCCTTCGGTGATATGATATATTTATAGGGTTACACTTTTGACATCAAACACTTATATGAGATTTCATGACAGAGGAGGTCAGAAATTACTCTTTGAATAGCTAGAGAGCACATTTGTGTTTACAGCTCTGTACAGGTTTGATTCGTTCCATGTACCTATCGATGCACATATATTCCTATATTTGCTGACTGCTGAATATGAAGAGGCCCTTGTAAAAATCTAGATAGTAGCACTCATATTTAGAAATATAGTTGTATTTCAATACAGTAGGCAGGACGATAAGGAACCAGTACGTGGTTTCTTCATCAACTCAATGAGGCTTAAATCCAAGAAAAGACCTTGTTCTTATATAACTTTGGTGAAATTTTAACACAAAAATTAGTTTCGATTGACTTGGAACAGAATGTTATTCCAGTTTGAGTAATGTCATCTACTAAGCAAAGAATTAATTGAACTTAGCCAGAACCTTGATTACATTATGAGGAGCGATTAAAAAAGATGGTCACCGCAATACACATACTTTGGTTAAAATTAACTTTTCGCTAAAAGATCATTGATTCAAATTTTGTTTGGAATCTGTTTATGACGTATATATTACTATCTTCATCTTAAGATTATGTAAACAGTATGTAACGAGAGCTGTTTTGTTTATATGCTGTCTACGGTTTTTAGATGATAAATGCTCACCATGAAGACCTGTTTTATTTTCTCATTTTGAAGACAGCATACCATTGAATTAAAACTCAGTATGCAATAATTGTGTCAGATTTGTACTTGTATGAGTAATACCGCCCTAACTCAATATTAAAATAGAGCAACAAAAGTTGACATGAGATTAGAATGATCGAATTTCAGTTCGAAGCAACAATCACTGCGTGAACGCCGTAGGCACTTACTGGTTGCATGAACTCTGGACTGATGCATCAGATGCTTACAGATATCACGTTTTTTTACTTATTCACTCGGTAATTTTATATTATGAAGCATTGATGTAGCAAGAACAGAGAAAAAACTTATAAAATTTGTAATTACATGAATAGCTGAGTAGTGAAATGTGACTACGGTGATGTATAACGTGAAACTGAGCATCTAAGAATGTATTAGATCCTGTTAAGTGATAACAAGTATGAGACATAGATTTATGACGTTTTGTCAGTTGCTTCCAAAAATCTGACAAGGAATAAAATATACCGTACAACAGTTTTAATGTATCTTATAATCGCATACACCAATACAATAACACTTACTCCAGGACGATCAAATACAGGTTTGTAACCTTCATTTGGGCGACGTGGTATTATAATGTGACTATGACGAAAATCAAATGACACAGGTTTTTCAAGTGGTGATAAGTCCATATCTATCAAAAATAAAAGATTAAAAAATAATACCCAATGACTGTGGAATTAGTGGATGCATGTATACTCATGAAATAAAGAGCTAAGTTCATTAGGGAATTAATAGGATGCCGCTAATACTAAGAAAAAGTGGATAATTTCACAGAATAAACTATAAGTTACAAGCTAAAATTTTGTGAAGAAAAGTATATGTAACTTATTTGAGTCAAATAAATTTATAGATAATTGCTTATTGTAAAATAGTGAAATATACTAAGATAACTTCATATGATGAAATCAAACCAACTTAGTTTTGCAGGTGTTTTCAAGAACCGATAAAATATAACCGAGTAGACAAAAGATATAACTCAGAACTATAATGATCGATGACTTGTGATTTATGGATTGTGTCTAGACAAGTGAGCTGCAGCTTCAATACTGAATGTTAAGTAGGAAAATCTTCGCAATAAAAGACTACATTATTTTATTAAAACAAAGTTAATGAGTTAGTCGAAACAAGTTGGTTTTAGGAGTCTTTATTTTCATTTTCTCAGAATTATGAGTCAGATTGATAGCATTTTATCCCATCATTACGAAAAAATTAATCAGAAACAATTTTCTTAGTAGTTAAACCAATTAATTCCTATTACATAGTTGACATCAGGAGACAAAAACTTACTAAGAGGAAATGTCCTTTCTATGACAATTGAAATTTCTTTAGCCTGACGCATAAGTGTTGCTGGGGGGAGCTTGGTATTATTGGTAAGTATAAGATGTGGAAGACGATGGTTATCTCCAAAACGACCATACCTGCGTTTATTGTATACAGCCGTCCCTGAATTTGTCAGACGAGTGAAACGTTCTGTTAAAGTTAAAGGAGAATGTGAGCCACGTGTCGTAGTTCGTACACCTTCAGTTTGAAAGTCAGTGATGGGATTAACACTTGACTGTATTTCAGGTTTCCTAAGTCTTTGAAACTTTGACTCTAAATAAATTAGTGAGATAGGCCTAAAAAGAACTAAATGCTTACGTCGTTCAGCAGGACTTAAAGAACGTCGAGGACTGTAGTCAAGATTTTTTGAATGTGACCTCTGTCGATTTCTGAAAGATACAAAAGTAGAGAAAATAATGAGTAATTAAAATTGACTAGCAAGCTTTGAGATAAAAATAAACAGATACATTGAACTATTCCATTTTACGTAACTAGCACTTTTGTTAATGATTATTTTATTCTCCGAACTTTCCCTGAAAGACGTTCGATAAATTTCTTTCTAGATATCGATAGGAGTATCTGTCAAGCAACAAGTGGAGATACTAATAGGTTGTTTAAATTTAAATAAAGGCTGAGTTTGGACTCAAATCAATTAAGAAGGTAAACAGATGTTGATATTATTTATTTACATAGTTTGAGGTCATGTGTATTGGTTGTGGAGCGAGTACAGTAGGTGACCATGACTGATGCAAAAAATTACTCTGTGAAATTATATGAGCACAAGAACTAAAATTAACTCCACTTTCTTACGATATCATTAGCAAAAGCGAAATAAGCATGGATATACAAACATCAGATCGTGATTTGAGTAGTAATTACACTGTAGAATGTATAACCAAAACAGTGTATCATTTATATAAATGAATAAAAACGAATCCGCCAAAAATCAAGCAACATAATATGGCCTAACTATGAGGAATATAAGTAATTGACGAGAATACATCACAAAAAACGACAACGGTAATGAACTGAGAGAGGTTAAACGAAGAAAGAGAAACAGTTATGAGTAAGAGGATAAGTTAACACATTAAAACAGGACGATAAACGAATATGATAGAGGATCCATCTGAAGTATGATATATCATTCGTCATATTGAATGCACTTATACACCTCACACTACTTATAATTAATAGTATATCCAATAATGGAGTAAACATAAGGACAGAGAAAGAACTTTCGAAACAGGTAGATTTAATGTATCCTTGATACAAAAAGTCAGGTTATTAAACAGTCGCATACCTTTCTTTTAACGAAAAATTGAACTTGGAGCGTTCACCAGATCTGAAATGAAATCAAATAACAATCATATTTGGTAATAAATCTAATAATCAAATTTTTGATTTTTAGTGCATTTAGTTTTCATGGAAATATAATCGTGGGAACTTTATGGTTGAAAAGAAGTAGTATTGCATTATTTACTGATAAATCTGCTGTTACCATGAAATGAAGATAATCATAGACATCAAAGTCAGTCAGTCAGTCAGATGCGACATAGAACTTCGTACGTAAGTACATCAGTTCATGTCGCCATAACACATCAGCACAGAGACGCCATTGTCAATTCAAATCCAATAGTAGAAGAGGTAGTAAAGGTATTAGAAGTAATCGGAAAGGTTAGGATGAGAAGATATTCAAGAAGTATGATTCAGTGGGAAAAGTTTAGAAAGTTGAAGAATCCAGAAAATTAGGATTTGAGAGAACACAAAGAATAAATGCACCGGCGCCACTGCAAACGGTTTTGAGCCATGTCATTCAAGGTATCTAACCATCGATTATTATCATCTCGCGGACCCCAACCAGGTAGTCGACAATTACCGACATGGCTAAGTCCACTTGTCAATAATTTCATGGATTTCTGCCATGTTTTGGTCTGCCCGCCCCTAGCTTTCTTCCAACCTATTCCTACACTACAAAACAAAGCTCATCGAGGCAGTCGGTGGTCAGGCATACTCAGCACATGTCCCAACCACCTCAACTGATCAAGTTTCAGCACTTCATCTATTGATCTGCGATTCTCACCTAGCACCAGCTTCCTAATAACAGCGTTGCTCACTCAAGTGTCCCACGATATACGAGCAATGCTTCGAAGACACCTATGATCGAAAACCAGTAACCTACGAATATCCTCTATTCCTATTTTCCATGTTTTGCGGCTACAAAGTAGGACGGGGTGAACTGTTTCGCAGTACACTCGTCTTTTGATTAGCAGGCGGATATCTCGTCTGCTCCACAAGTGACGCAAGTTGGCAAAAGCCAATCGAACCCTTAGTATCCGAGCTGAGATTTCGTCAGTCACCAGGCCATCGACACTGATGAGACTCCCAAGATAAGTGAAGCGGTCAACACGCTCGACTACTTCACTCCCTATCACTAGTTCAGGTGCCGCTGCAACCCAGTCTTGAAGCAACATTTTGCATTTCGAGGGTGAGAACCGCATCCCGAACATGCTTGCATTGTTGCACAGGGTGGTCAGAAGACTCTGCATTTTGTCAGCGTCTTCACCAAGTAGAACTATGTCATCGGCATATTCTAAGTCAATAAGCGAGTCACCTGGTAGAAGGTCTACTCCTGAAAATTCAGACGAGGACAATGTTATGTCTAGGAGCATGTCTATGATAAAATTAAACAAGAATGGAGAAAGTGGACATCCCTGACGGACACCACTTGAAGTAAAGAATTCCAGTGACAGTTCGCCATAAGCTCTCACTTGACCAGTGGTGTTCGAGTAGAGAGCTTGCATGAGGTTAATGTACTTCTTTGGTACACCTTTCAATGACATACACTGCCATTGAACCTCACGATCCACTGAGTCGAATGCCGCCTTAAGGTTCAGGGAAACAACTATTGTAGGACGCCTAAATGTGTGTCTGTGTTCCAGGACCTATCGCAGTGTGAAGATGTGGTCTATACAGCCACGTCCAGGTCGAAAACCATACTGGTTTTCTCGAGTCTGCTCTTCACGAGCTTTCGTTAAGCGTCGAAGTATTATTGAGGCCAATATTTTAGAAACTATATTAGTTAGACTTATTCCCCTGTGATTGTCACAAGAAGACTTTCGTCCTTTCTTATAAATTGGGACAATCAATGATTGAGACCAGTCGGATGGAATTACGTCCAGTTCCCAAATTCTACCTAAGATCTCAGTCAACCTAGCTGCTATAACTGGACCACCATCCCTAAATATGTCAGGGGTCAGTCTATCAGGACCCGCAGCTCGCCCTCGCTTCAGACTTCCTAACGCTTTCTCAACTTCATAAAGGCTAGGGCGACTTACGTCGATTAGCCATTCAGGATGATTGGAGGTCGTGGGTAACCGAAGAGTGGCTCGAGGCCAGTTGAACTGATCCTTAAAGTGTTCTGCCCATCGGTTCAGTCTCCTGCATTGAGAATGGATAATAAGACCATCCTTTTCTGAAATAGTTTCACTCACACTTGGGTTCCTAATACCAGTTTCCTTGATGAGTCTAAATAGTTGCCTACTGTTGCCTATCGCCGCTGCCTTTTCCATCTCTCTCGCTTTCGCCACCCACCACTGTTCACGGTCGTTGTGCAGACTTTTTGTCAGCCTGTGCTTAAGCTGACTTCGTTCTTCATCATGTTCAGAGCCAGGTGAGATGAGTTTTCGGGCATCCATCGGATCAGTGGATGCTACAGAGATACACGGCTTCATTCTAGAATTATGTTCAACCTTACTAGCAGATATCACTGCTGTTTCCACAGCCTTTTTGATATCATTCCATCCTGCTTCCGGATGGGAATCGCTTAAATGGTCGCCTAACTGTCTTTCTAGTTGTTCCTGAAATATATTTTCCGCCTTATTATCATTAAGTAAAACCCTAAGAGGCTTTCTTACGGTGTCTTTCCTACGCCCAGTAAGCTTCAAACAAATACGCGCTCGCAATAGGGCATGATCTGAATCTAAACATGTGCCCCACAACGAGCGACAGTCTTCTATCGAACCCCTCCATCGGTGGCTGATGGCAATGTGATATAGTCGGGTCCAACGTTGAGACGACTTTGGAGGTCGCCAGGTCAATAGATGCTTTTCCTTATGTCTAAAGTTAGTGTTTGCTAAGAATAGGCGGTTGTCTGAGCATACTTGCAACAGACGGTCACCATTGTCTGTTCTCTGAGCCGCAACACCATAACATCCACGTAGGTTTTTTTCATTTTCACTTAGTCGACCTACTTGAGCATTGAAGTCACCAGCTATTATTACTATATCAGAGTGCCTAACTTTTTGGAGGAGGTCCGAAATTTTTCGGTAAAACTCATCTTTAACCTTGTCTGAACTGCAGTCAGTGGGGTCTGGGCAGATATGACGAAGAGGCAACGGTGAGCGTCCCTATCCTTCCGAGTCCTTACTGTCCCGTTTAGTCGGACAGCGCACAAGCGACTATCTACTGGGATCCAGTCAAGGAGAGATTGTTCAGCTCTACAACTCAATGCTATGCCTACGCCAGCAAGACCCCTGGAAGCAGCATCAGGGCTTCCAGATACACGAAGAGTAAATCGAGCTGCTTCTTTATTTTGACAAGGTGAAATCAGATTAATAATTTTACTAGGATCCTGTATGCGCGTTTCTGAGACACAGCATACATCGATGGCACGAGATTCTGAAGTCCTAGCTAATGATACCTGTTGCCCTATTTGACACAATGTCCGTACATTAAAAGCTCCAACATGTAGTCTAGAACGAGGTTTCAGGAGACCAGGAATGACGTTTCGTGAACTCGCTTCGTCTGCATTAGCGGTGCAGTGAAAAAAGGGACTGTGAGTAGAGTTCGTTGTGGAGATAAGAGAAGTATGTGTGGGTGTAGGAAGGATTTGATTTCGACCAATTTAGTCTCGTGTGCTATTAGGGGTATGAGGGCGGTTGTCACTTTCCGGCTGCTCACACTGTGGAAGGTTGTTTTTAGAGGAACCTGAAAAGGAAGGTATATTAGCGTTGGTCTTAGAGACCTGGGTGTGTGACCGCAGAGTCCAAGGGACAACTGCTCGAGGCCGGTCACGCACGGCCTTTTTGTCAAAGGTTTTTTTGAGGATTAGCTGCGCTCTTGAAGGCCCTTAATGGGCACTCTTACCGCCGGAGACGGAAATCCGTGAGGTAGGGTGAGGTGTGACATTATTAGGGTCGACATTTTCTAACCCTTTTCTTTCTTTGTAAGAAGGCAGCATCTCTGCGGATGCTGGTTGTCCGAGGAAAACACCTTACTGCTGTCACACCCCTCTGCAGTCAGCAGTACGACTTCGCCCTCAGACCTTGAGTAGCTGCCTTTAGTTACATCGTTCTCCAATCGACCTGCCTGGCATGGTAGGACCTGCAAGAACATGTGTTCCAGCCAATATAGCTCGGTTGGATCATCACGATAAGCAAGCCCGACTACCACGTCAAAGAATGATAATAACCAACGGTATAGCATAATGTTTAAAAAAAGGTGAAAAATAAAACACCAGGGGATAAAATTTTATTTTTTTAGGCTCAAGAGACTATAGGCAGTAAGAATTTAAGTAAGGCAACTCGACAATATGGTTTACTTTAATCCACTTGCTTTAAAAAAACCGTTTATGACTACATTCAAAAAGCTATCGCAGTATATAGGAAGTAAACAAGTGTTGATCACATAGGAATAAGTATGGCTAAATGCCTAGTATATTAGGTACAATATTCGTTTACTGCTTTACTTGGGCCTGTAGACCATAAACTTGGGAAAATCAAGCAGGTTTCAGACACAGACTCAGTTGTATTGACTAAATATTGTGCTTACCGACACCCGGATACAATGGTCCCGACCGTAGCTACTACCTTGATGTGGTGGTAAGGCTTGCCTATCGTGATGACCCAAACGAGCTATATTGGTTGGAACATACGTTCCTGAAGGTTCTACCATGCCAGGCAGGTCGATTGGAGAACGATGTAACTAAAGGCAGCTACTCAAGGTCTGAGGGCGATGTCATACCGCTGACTGTAGAGGGGTGTGACAGCAGTAAGGTGTTTTCCTCGGACAACCAGCATCCGCAGAGATGCTGCCTTCTCATAAAGAAAGAAAAGGGTTAGAAAATGTCGACCTTAAAAATGTCACACCTCACCCTACCTCACGGATTTCCGTCTCCGGCGGTAAGGGTGCCCACTAAGGGCCTTTAAGAGCGGAGCTAATCCTCAAAAAAACCTTTAACACCTCACCCCACCTCACGGATTCCTGTCTCTGGCGGTTAGGCTTTTTAAACAGAAACGGAACTAACACTTGAATACTATCCATAAAAAGGCCGTGCGTGACCGGCTTCAAGCATTTGTCCCTTGGACTCTGCGGTCACGCTCCCAGGTCTCTAAGACCAACACTAATCTACGTTCATGTTCAGGTTCCTTAAGAAACAACCTTCCACTGTGTGGGCAGCCGGAAGGTGACATCCACCCTCATACCCGTAATAGCACGCGAGACCATATCAGTCACAAACAAATACTTCCTACATCCCCTAACATCTCTGTTATCTCCACGACTAACTCTTCTCACATCCCTTTATCATGTTGCATCGATAATGCAAACGATGCGAGTTCAAAAAACGTCTACTCGAACACCACTGGTTGAGTGAGAACTTATGGCTAACTGTCATCGGTATTCTTCACTTCAAGTGGCGTCCGTCAGGGATGTCCATTTTCTCCGTTCTTATTTAATTTTGACATAGACATGCTCCTAGATATAACATTATCTTCATCCGAATTTTCAGGAGTGAACCTTCTACCAGGAAAATAGAATATGCTGATAACATTGTTCTATTCGGTAAAGTCACTGACAAAATGCAGTCTCCTGACCATCCTAAGCAACAATGCAAGCATGTCTGGGGTGCGGTTTTCCCCTTGGAAATGCAAAATGTTGCTTCAAGATTGGCTTGCATCGGCACCTGAACTAGTGATAGGGAGTGAAGTAGTCTAGCGTGTAGACCGCTTCCATTGTCTTCGGGGTCTCATCAGTTCTAATGGTCTGGTGACTGACGAAATCTGAGCGCGGATACTAAGGGTTCGATTGGCTTTTGCCAACTTGCGTCACTTGTGGAGCAGACGAGATATCCGCCTGCTAATCAAAAGACGAGTGTACTGCGAAACAGTTCACCCCGTCCTACTTTGTAGCCGCAAAACATGAAAAATAAGAATAGAAGATATTCGTAGGTTACTGGTTTTCGATCATAGGTGTCTCCTAAGCATTGCTCAAACATCCTGAGTAAGCAATGCTGTTGTTGGGAAACGAATACTAGGTAAGGATGGCAGATCAATAGACGCTGTAAAATCGTATTTTCACTACAAAAAATGTTGGAAACATGATTATTTTATGTGCCATTGATTTCAGAATACTTGGCTAAGATAATAGATAAGTTATAGAAAAAGTAGGTGTTAAAGCTATCAGATAAAGTGATTTTAACAAAAGATAGCACAAAACATTCCTATTTATTCTCATTAAACCTATCATTGATTTACTTCTGACATAATACACAATTACATTTTGTTTGATAAGTGCGAAACCACTGCACGATAGTCCGAAATAATTAACAGTTCTTGCTAACTTACTACCAAAACGCTGAGTAGAAGCTTGCGTATTAAAAAACTTCGGTTTACGATATAATTAAGCGTCCTGCATGATAACGATTAGATAAAATCTCAATATTTCACTAGAAAAAAATATTACTAACCTGGATCGGTTTTTTCGTCTTGGTGTGTAGAATCCTGATGACCTGGAACGGGAACGTGATGAATATGAACGCTTCCTGGTAATCATTGTTCAAACCTAAGCATCTTTCAGAAAAAAATTCTGATCAGTTTTTAAAAAATCGAAGTGAGCGGAACCTATTATTTATTAATCCAGTGAACATACTGTATGTACTGTGGTAATGATTGAGAACTTACGTCTCTATTCTCACTAATGAGACGTCTGAGGATTGCGAATTTTATCAAACCACAAATTACCGGTTCGGATTTCAAGCTAAATGCCACTTTATTCCAATTTATGTGTGAGGAGAAAAGACTAAAGCCAATGGCAACTGCAAAATGCTTTGGCAGACTTTACCAATAAATGGTACTGAAAAGCTCAAGATTCAACACGATAAATATTTTCGGTATTTGATGAATAACATTAAACAACATGGAGTAAGAATGGAAATCAGCAACTACATTAATAGAACTGGAACCAAATTAAAAATCTAAATAAACCCATCTACGAAGTACCTCAGTGTGAGCATCACTACATGACTGCCTAAACCGAAGTACATAGGATGTGACGGACATGCAAATCACCAACCTACTACTCCATAATGAGACGAAGTAATACCTAAACGACGTTGAGAATGGAATGAAGAAGTAAATAAACCATAAAAATCAGAAAAAGACTTAAGTTTGTGTTTACCATTTAGGGAAAAGTAGAGACTAAATGACATGTTTGCTTGCCTATGATGAACTCCTTCTGTACTAAGGTAGTAATTACAATCTCTGGATCAGTAGCGAAAAGTGATAAAAACTGCCCGTGCATTAACCAAAGCCAAGAAATCCTAGTTGAAAGCAAATATTTGAAATTTCTTTCAATAGTAATCAAATTTATGGGTAACTGACTGAATTTATCCCAAAATGTGCTGGTAGTGCTTAAAAATATTTTAGTCAACGAATTAACGGCCAACAAATATCAGACATAAACATCATACATCGTGGCAATGAAACATTATAAACAAAAGCGAAGAGCGTAAAGAATATATGTATTTGTTATAGCGTTATTCATGGCATAACAAATTATTCTAGGATAATAACGATTTTAAAAAACTAAGATGAATTCGCACGCAAGATGATATGTATTAGTGCTTGTGAAGTTAAATTCGATGGAATGGAAGGAATGCAGTATTATGTTGACAAAAACAATAACCGGATTAACGTTGCTTCAGTCAGCTAAAAATAACTGACAATAAAATGTTCCTTGAAATATGCCTTTAGCGAGCGCTAAGTAGTGGACGAGTGCATCTTTCATTAAGATTGGCTCCAGAACACACATCACAGTGAGTTTCACGACGACTCCTCACAGTAGAGTTTGATCCACGACAGCTTAACAGTACTGGTGTAGATGGGACCAAACTCTCCAGAAAGGAAGAGAACGGTCGATTGTACGGGAAGCAAAGTGGACGACAACGACCTGCAGCGACAGACGCGCTTCGAACATACACAGAAGATGGATATGACGGGTATTTCTGGACATATTCAGAAACCCATGAGTCTGTAGGTCTCCAGTTAGCATGATTATTCGAGTAAGAATTTGAAGCACCCAACCCAGACAGTTGTGGTACGTTAACTTTTGTTGAGTTGTGGGGGATATGGACGGATTTTTCAGTCTTAGCAAGTTTCATTGCTTCACGTTTTCCAATACATTGTTTCGGTCCATATAATTTAGATGATACTTTGTTGTTAGAGGTATTCGTATGCGTATAACTAACCAGCTTTTCTTTACGTCGAGCATCAGCACGTACAGCAGAAGGATAGACCTGACGAAGGACAAAAATAAAATAAACGCTTTTAGGTATTTAGTATTAGCTATGGTACAACTACCAGTTGTCAATGTTCTGAAGTGAAGTGTGGCTACCAACACTGATACATATTTTCTTCAAGATTCTACACTAACTGACCTTGAGACTGTTTTGTGAATGGGAGGTAAACTCATACAAAACTGACGGAGATAGTAATAGATCTGGACGTCCTATATCAAGGCTCATTGATTCTGCACATTAATGACGAGAAACAGTAAACTTTGCTGAACTTATCTGTCGACTGCTGTCGTGACACACGAGCAGACTCATAAATAAGTTGTCCTGCTTTTATACTTAGGGGTGGAAAGTATTACCGAAATTTTATAAAGCAGCAATTTTTCTAGGGAAATAGCTGATTCAGAATGGAAAATCGAAAGACTTGATACAACGTTAAATATAATACGACACACGAAGCCTATGGTAAGCAAACAGGTAGTATTCAAGTCCGTCGTTTGCGAAATCGCATTGAAGCGTATGGAATTTGTACCTGGTTTCTGAGATTTAGTCGAGACAAACCTTATGATATAAACATAGGGTGAAATACACTAGTCCGTAACAAATGATTTCACCTTAGCAACACATATAAAGCACTTGGTTAGTAACATTACCTACAGTAGACAAAGTGCTTACTTACATCTCGGTCTGACTTGACATTAAAAGTTCTTCTTGCCCCACACGAAGGACCAGGAGAACCTCCGATAGCGTAAGGCACGAAAGCTTTGGGTTGGTTTATAGCCTCCAGAAGACAAGCTTTTTCAGTCTGGGTACCAATATCTATTTTGGAGGGGGTCGAGACATTGTCACTATCTTTCTTTTCATAATTGAAAACATGCGGGTCTACATGGATTTCATGTCAGCAAACTCGCATTCAAACCTTTAACTATCACAGAATCTTCTGTTACGTTATCTGAGTGGCTATCATTATACGTAACGTAATAATTCAAAGAATTACCCATCCTCTGGAGTAAATGTTGTCTTGGTTGAAACATCATTTTTGGTGGGTCTGACGTCTGTATGTAGACTAAGGTCTGAAGGTGAAGAATTGATACATTCCAAATCGTCCCACAAAAACGGGTGGTGTGAATATTCTGAATTGCGTTTCCGAATCCGGAACTGTAAGCGGTCATAATATTCATCTCTTAAATTATCTATACATGTATACGACTTTCCATATTCTGATAGACGCATCAATGCCCCACCAGTTGTCATACCTTCCTGCGGATTCGTAACAGCCGCCAAAAATATGTACTTGTGCCTCAGTTAACAGGAAACATCGGACCATCACTATCATCGACCAGACAAATAACTGACTGTTACTTTACTGTCTGTAGGAATTAAAGCAGCTACTAATTATATTTACTGAGTGAGATAGCTTGTACTGCTTACTAAAGTAAGGAAATTTCTCAAACATTACACATCTAAACCTTTAAACGCAGAAAAAAAAACAACATCCTTTTGGATTCATGAGCTACGGTTATAGGAGAAAGCTTTTAATTACCTAAAAGTGTGAACTTTAATAACAATATTCTTTATTTGGTTGAAAACCGCGCGCTGCTCAAAAATGTCAGGCTTGACATATTCAGTTTCAGTTCGGAAAGGATCGATCTTTCAAGTGATTCAGCTTTCTTTTGAGTGTGTCGACATTTGGAGATTCAATAACGTCTCAAAATAACCAGTTCCACTCATTGACGGCTCCATGAGATAATCGTTTGTCAGCTGCTAAGTATTTTTTCTGGGCTTTTGAAACTTTTTAGTGTGTTTCTGGGAATTCTTTTCTGAAAGACAAGCAAAATGAGAGCATCTGAAATAAAAAATTTACATTCAGTCAATTAAAACCTGTGATTTGGTCAACTTCGCAGAGGTAAAGTAAAGTAAAAAGTAAAGTAAAAGGCTCTGTAAGTCTTCAACATTGATGCTGACCACATTAGTTTTACTGGACGCACCCTAGCTGAAAGCACCTGTTTGTCTTTTTATCCCCAGTGTGCACATAGACACAGTCGGTCGTGGTGATACGCATCAGCAATGTTTTAGACCAGTAAACCAGCATTTCTAACTCTTCCTGAAGTGCACTTGAGTTTGCATCCCTAAATATTTCTCTCCGAATGTTTAAATTATCCGCATAAGATACCTTGTCGATACTAGAGTGTTCATTTACATGTACTATAAAAAATGAACCTAGAACAACACCTTTTGGTACCCTACTAAGTACTGTTTTCCGTGATGAGGATTTGGAATTTCTTCTTACTTTCTGTCTTAGACCTACCAAGAAACGTTTGACCCACTTAAGAAGAGGTTGTTACAGGAGAAATGAAGACATTTTGCTGATCAAAACCCTGATATAAATATCATTAGTTTCACTGTGTTTTTTGGGTATATTTGTTTTACTTAACTTATGAACTTGTTTGAATTACTATTTTCGGCCATTTTTGGACCCTTGTTTGTTTTGGTTTGTTCGTTTGCAGTTTTTTGCTTCAGGAATCTATAAAATAGAAGGAAAACATTGGTTGTCTATTTGTAATAAACCAACGACATTTTGGTAGATTATTTGTGAATTGACAATAAACTTTGGTACCTAACTTTGGAATTTGGTTTTACCTTGATTTGGGATCGTGAATTGCAAATAGATCGACACACAGTGCTTCTAAGGATCAAGAAGTAAAAAATTGGACGCAACAAAAGTTCTTCTATTTTAATTTGGTCGTTGGATACTTTTGGACATTTGGGTCCAAAAGTTATTCTATTTTATTTTTAGTTCTTTGGTCATACGCTGGATACTTTTGGATATTTGGGATCAAAGGTTCTTCAATTTTGATTCTTTTGTCGTACATTGGATACCCCGAGACATTTTGGCTCCAAGATATTTTGCGTGAAATTTTTGTTATTATTGGTCGAATACGTTTGGATTAATTTCACATTTACCTGGTAATCGATTTTGAACAAAAGCATGCAATGGAAACTAGAAGCAAAAAGCGGAAGGAAAATGAGGAAATGGATGGTAAAGATTCTAAAGCTGTTTGTGGTATGTCTGGTTTTAATGATGATAAACTTGATGATATTAGTGTTAATAGTAAGTCTTCATCTCAGTTTAGTACTTCTAGATTGAGGTTAGATCAGGCATTAATAAAGAAGAAGAATTTGGAAAGGAGACTTGAGTTAGAAAGGCAGCTTAAAATGTTAGATCTTCAAGAGGAGGTTGATATGGCCGAATTAGAATGTAAGGTCATAGAAAACGATAACCGACTGTCAGTAGACAAAGCTGAGATAAATGCTAAGGTGGAAAGGTACTTGGATTGTGATATTGCGCGTAATAAGGTAATTACCACCTCAAAATGCGATTGTATTGATGAATTGAAAGACACGTTACGTGCTACGGTTAATAATACAGTTTTGCCTAAAATCGATGTGATGTTTTTTGACGGACAACCAAGCCAGTACCACCGTTTTATTAGTCAGTTTACAAGCATTGTAGAGAGTAAACTGTCTGACAAGGGCCAGTTGTTGTCATATTTGTCATACTATTGTAAAGGAAAGGCCAGAACGGCTATTGAAGCTTGTATTTCCTTGCCCAGTCACTTGGGTTACGATAGAGCTAAACAAATTTTGTATGATCTATTTGGTAAAGAACATCTTGTCGCTCGTAATCTTATTACTGAATTACTTAGCCACAAATCTGTTGAAGGATCCGCCGATGGCCTAACTGACTTCGCAATTAAGCTACGTAATGTATGCATAACATTGAAGGAAATGGGATATATGTCTGATGTGAATTCTACGGCTAATCTGGAAATAATTGTGTCACGTTTACCCCTGGGATTAGAGAATAAATGGGTGGAAGCTGCTGATAGGATCATGATGACCGGTAGGGAGCCGATCTTTGAAGAATTAGTGATGTTTGTAGAAGAAAGAGCCAGGATTGCGCGATCACGTTTCGGTAGATTGATACATTGTAACTCAAGGTTCCGTAAAAGTAATTATGAAGGCCAAGTTGACAGGAGATCACGCTTTAATGTAGTTAAGAGGGAACCAAGCAAACCATTCAAGGCCTTAAGTTGCGAAATTTGTTTTGGTGATCACAATGAGAAAGATTGTATGAAGTTATCAAAAATGAATGTTACAGAGAGGAGACAGGAAGTGAGAAAGCGTGGTCTATGTTACCTGTGTTTAAGGAAGGGTCACATAGCCAAGTCGTGTAACTCGGACATAAGGTGTGACGTTGATAATTGTAAGATTGGGCATAATCCATTATTGCATATTGATGCTACTCACAAACATGTGGTGAACTTTACTAAGGATTGGAAATTCTCAAGGGTTTGTTTGGGTATCATTCCGGTTAGACTATATGGCCCCAAAGGATGCCTGGAAACATACGCCCTTCTAGATAATGGTTCAGATACCTCTATTGTATGCGAAGAGTTAGTTAATCGGTTAGGTCTCAAAGGTAAGGAGACTTCAATAAAGGTGACAACTGTGAATGGAACTTCTACTTGTGAATGTCTGGAAATAAATTTAGAGGTATTTTCTTTAGATGAGCGGGGTTCTATAAAGATCAACAAGGCCTATACGACCAAGAAACTTCCGATCGATTATGCAGAACCTTTAGCCGAACTCCAGCTGAGAAGGTGGAAACATTTAAAGGAAATAACCCTACTGAGGCTGCAAAGTAATCTAGTAGGAATATTGATTGGGTGTGATGCTCCAGATGCACATTAAGTCCTTGAACAACGCCTGGGAGACAGGAAGCATCCGTTTGGGGTGTGTACTCATCTCGGTTGGATGATTTTAGGTCCTAAAGAAGCATCGAGGTCTTTACATCAAGTTCAGTGGTGTCATTGTTCTACTAATGATATTTTGCGAGATATAGAAAGATTATATAATCATGGGTTCGAGGATGCAGATGAGTTTCGTAATGGATATTCTGTCGAAGATAATAGAGCTCTAGAAATAGTTAATAGTTCCTTTAGACTGGATGGTGGCCATTTCCAAGTTGGTCTACCCTGGAAGTATGATGTGCCAAGGCTACCGAATAATTTGGAACTAGCTGAACGTAGACTAGAGTGTTTAAGGAAGAGGTTTATGAAGGATAATAGTCTTCTGGAGAAATATCAACTTGTAATGAGTAAACATTTAAGTAAAGGCTACATCATTGAAGCTAGTAAGGAGGAATTCGACCGTGATGCTGTTTGTTGGTATATTCCTCATCATCCTGTTGTCAACTTTTAAAAGCCTGGAAAATTAATTATTGTTTTTGATTGTTCAGCTGTCTATCAAGGTTTTTCTCTTAACGATCAGCTTTTGAGAGGACCAAATACTGTAAATAGTTTAATTGGTATACTTCTACGATTCAGATTATGCAACGTAGCATTAGCCGCTGACATCGAGGAGATGTTCCTTCAAGTAAAGATCCCGAGACGAGATAGGGGAGCGTTCCGACTATTAGGGTGGGAAGACGGTAATATAGGACGAAAGGCTAAGGAATACTGTTTGACAGTTCATCCGTTTGGAGCCATGTCCTCTCCTTTTTGCGCTAATTTCGCTCTTCGGAAGACGGTAGATATATTCGGAAAGGAATTGAATAAAGATGTACCGAAAGTTGTAGATAAGAGTTTCTATGTCGACGACTATTTAACTTCAATTGATAATGTGCAGGATGCAATCGTGTAGAATCCATTTTGAATGTTTTGTTTTTTCGAAAATCCCTCCATGATTACATATTTTTGTTATAACATGACGGACTTTTTCTGTTGACATTTTTGGTATTTTATTTGATTCCAATTTGAGATTTTGTATATTGTATATTGTATATTGTATTGTTGTATATTGTATATTGTATTGTTATTGTATATTGTTGACCAGTGACAATCGCGGAAGATTATACTGAAAAAGAGCTCATTCATGACTTCTTGAGCTACAGAGTTAAAAAGAAGCAGAATATAGAAAATATCACGAAAGCATCAGACCACTGTCATTCTGTAAATCAACATAAATGCTAACAATTTGATTCTTCTGAAGTTCCTCTATTCATACGATTAATTGTCCATTCGTTATCTTACTAGTGAATTGTCATCGTTAACCTGCATAAGTGCAGGTGTACATTTAGTGTTCAAATATAAAAATGTCTGAGTGAACATACCTTTGTTTTATCTAGAAAAGTATCTGCTGAGTCATTGCTTGGCTTAAAACAACAATATTTTCTGTTCTGTTCCTCGCCTCTTTTTCTTGATTTCTATTTTTTCAGCACCTTATTTCAATCCCTATGTATTAGTCTGAATGTTTGCCAAAGACTCGGACAATTTACCCAGGAGCAAGTAAATTTATAATTTGAAGAATATCGACCAGATCTTTGCACATGTACTTCATCAATTCTTGTTATATGCAGACCTGGCTCTATCTTGCATTGTTTCGCATT